GGACCTCGCTCATCTGCGCAATGAAGAGGTGTTCGCTTCGCCCAAGTTTCTGGATGAGCTCGTGAGAAGCCCCTCACTATCTGTTAATAAGGCCGACAAGTGCTTCCACATCTTCCTCAAGCTCGTTGCGTTGAGTATCAAGAAGTTAGGCGCCACTGGTTCGTTGAAAGACATCCGGAATCTGATAGCCCGAACAATGCCAAACCACAACCGGCAACTCTTAAAGGAACAGACGATCCAGAAGCGTGATTTAGCTGCGTTACGAAACCATCATGATCTGCTCTGCACTCTTTTCTGGGCTTCGCCGGCAGACCTTCGCCCAGGCGCCCATTTGATCGAGCGACTCGTCGCCCCGGCAAGCTCCCACAAAGAGGCGTGCTTAATCAATGTCAGAGCCTGGAACCAGTTGGCCAAGTTTATCATCGCGACCGGAGAAGCTACGACCGCTTTCAGACCGTTCACGCAGTGGCGGAACAGCTTTTTCCAATCCATGATGCAACAGTTCGATTCCGTACAGTCTGATATGCAACAGCAAGTCTTGGCCATGTCTAAAGATGCCAGTCACACAATCGACCCAGACTTGATCAGTGCCGTGGTTGCCACGAACAAAAAGGCTACAATGGACGTATTGTATGTTTCGGTGGCCGCATCGTTGGATGTTATGAGGCATGCACCTAATTTGGAGGCCGCCACGTTTGCCCTAAATACACTGCAACTACAGCAAGTCTTCAGGCGATCCAGTGCATATCCTATAGAGCTCGACTGGTCTATTCTCCGCTCTTCCCTATCCACCTTGGAGGTTTTCCTCTCCCGTGTTGAGGAGTTCAAGGACGACGAAGACAGCCAACAGAGCGAGAGCCAAATCTTGAACTCAGCTCAAGCAGACGATGCTATCTTGGTGATTGATCACGACCTATCCAAAGCCTACTTCTCAATGGCAAGATGCATTCTTTCCTCACAGGGAGAAGTTAGCGAATTACCTTCTGAAGTTGTGGAGAGATCCCAATGCGCTGAGCAGGTCATAATCTTGACAGCCCAGCTTGTTGTAAGGTCCATTACTGGCGGACTGTTGCGCCTCGCCGATATATTCAAACCAGGGAAATATAGCCTGTTCGAAGATGTTCCAGCCAAACTTGACCTCGACCAACGACGACATCTTGTCTTATTCTTAGCCACGCTCCTTAAGCACAACTTTGATGATTTTAGCGAGGCAGACTTTTCTCTTTCAGAGGTCTGGGCTCTGTCAATTGTCAAGCCAAGGCCATACCTATCGTACGAAAACCAGTTTGCGGAGCAGTTGCTGCGAAAGCAGAAAGAGTTCGTCCCAGACGCAGTCGTTGGACTTGCTATCAACCCGGACTACAACACAAACCGAGACCTCTTCGAATTCCTGATAACGTGGATGCGCAAGTCCTTGCGAGATGCTGGACCAGCGCTGAAAAAAGTCATCATGTCAGAACACTCCAAAACCCTCAAGTTGGTGATGCAACAGATCATCGGAGATTTGCGGACCATGTCTCACGATGCTTCTGAACATTCTAGCTACGTGGTCTTCGTGCGGGATGTCATTGCGCTTATTAGAGCTCACGGCTCTGATATTTGCACCGTCGACAAGTATTTCTATCAGATCAGCAAGGAGTACTCGCCGTCTATCCAGGACCCGCAACTGCAAGTGGCTGGTATGATGTCTTATGGGCTTCGGCTGAGCGAAGGGGACACCAAGGTCATACACCAGGTATTCTTCTTCCTCTCTAACAACTTCAAGATCGCACTTAAAGACAACAAGCTTCAAGACGAAGTTGAGCTTTTGTGCCGAGGAATGGAGAACCCGGGTATTCTATCCTTTATTCTGAACAAGATGCTACCAGCGATTGTCAAGGCTGCGACAGTCGAAAGCTCGATATTCCCCATGGTTGAAGTGTATGCAGGAGCACTGCGAGTTTTCTTCACCCGCGATGTAATTCCTCGAGAGTTGACAGAAAGCGAACTGCCACATGTGGTTGTTCTTTTACGTGCCATTGTCAACTTCTTTGATCAACTGAGTAAGAAAGACGGACATCTCCGGGCTGAGGAAGTCCATCTGGTTACACAGCTGTTATCATTGTCAAACAGCCTATGGTCTCCTCTGTATGGCCTGTCACTTTCTGGAATATCTTGCGGTTCTTGGACAGATACTGTGCAAGTTCTCAAGCATGTGAGGGACGGGTTGTCCAGGGCCGAAACATATATTTCTGACATGGTCGACCTCGAAGACTATTCTGTGAGAGCAGAAACCCTCCTATCCGGCTTTCGGCAACAGAATATGGTGCCCCCACAGATTGGTGATGGTGTCAGAAGCTTCACAGATAACCTCCTCAACGATGTTCGGAAGATCTGGGTCAATACTGGAACAAGAATCACCATTCAAGCGCCTGGCAGAGGGTTTACACAGACGCAGTCCGACCAAGGAACACCTGTACCAATATGGAATGCAGAAGTCTTGGTGACTGCCTTGTACGGGGAGTTGAGGACATGGAATCATTGGTGGAACAAAGTGTTTGGCAAGGAGCCAGAACAAGTAGACGTGATTGAACCTGTCTTGTTTTAATCAGCATAGCAATGGCGTTGGGTTTACAAATGTTTGCGGACTATGGATTGGATTGCATGTGGTCTCGTTTCTCGGAATGAATAGAGAGTCTATGAAATGATGTAGATATATATAGTTATGTCTTTATGTATTATATATATATACCCGTCAACTTGAACTTGTGGAACATGTTTTGACGTGGCTATTTACCATCTAAGAAAGTAAGATAGTTGTTTAGTTGCTACATGTAGTTAACAAGTATCCGTAACCATGCCTCTAAGCGAAGTGTGTGATGCGCGGCCCGGTAAGGTAGGTTATTCCCCGAGTGACGTATCTTGGACCGTGCAACGCGCCAAACGCGTCTCCCCGATAAGCTCATTTATGCGTAACTCGAATAATTCGTCTTCGAACAACCTCAGCAATTATACCCAAAGACGGTGGAATTGCCCAAATGCAAGGAACCACGATGACTTCATTGTTTGGTCTTCCAGACGAAATCATATTAACTCCCTTGCTGGAATCATTTCCTTGTCGAGAGCATCAAATCCGCTCCCTAGCAACGCTGCTGCATGTATGCCATGTTTACTTCCGTCCTCCTATGCCAACTTGACAGACTGACAACACATAGCCCAATGCAGCTCCTTGTCGAAATCTTGTCGTCCACGGCGCAACGGCCACAGGGAAATCCGCCATCACCTCTAAACTTGTCTCCGATCTCGTTACCAGTATCAATAGCGATGAATCCTCAGGGGGCCTACAAGCTGCTGTCGTCAACTCTGTACAATGCATCACAGGACGACATCTTTTCGAACGCATAGTTGGCCAGGTTGCTGAGGCGCTGCAGTGGGAGGAGGCACCTCGACGATGCGAAACGCTGGCGCAGTTGACGGTAGAGATGGTCAAGATGATTCAGTATCCAAAGAGGGATGCGAGGTGGCGCTTTATCTTGGTTCTGGATGCCATTGACCGACAAAGAGATGCCCCGGTCACATTGCTACCGGCTCTGGCGAGGTTATCAGAAATTGTGAGCTCCCAACTGCCTACCTACACACACATATACATGTACAATGCTTACAATAACAAATGTTCAGATTCCATGCCTCACCTGCGTCTTCATAGTCACATCTCCACCCGCTGGCTTCCTACGGGCACCTTCGTCAGCGCATCTGCTTTTTGCTCCCTACGAAAAGAAGGAATTCGTTCGCATCCTCTCGCTCACGCCACCGAAATCGATTGCTACATGCACGCAGCAAGAAACCACCGATCTCTGGACTCGATTCTGCGCCGCCGTTTACGACTCCCTCACAAAATCAGCGTCTCGCACACTGCCATCGTTTAAGCACAGTTGTCATGCGCTTTGGCCGCGCTTCACAGCGCCCATTCTTGCGGGGACACATCTGCCGAAAGAGTTCTCCAAGCTGCTAATCGCAGGAAGAGTGCATTTCCAAGATGAGTCTTTGCTCAACCCAAGCATTGTCTCTATTCGGACAAAGAATAAGCCCATTGAAGCCGTCGCAACCAAAACTACAGCCTCAGCAGCCGATCTCACGAACCTCCTCCCCACAACAGCTCGTCTCCTGCTGCTATCAGCTTATCTCGCCTCCCACAATGCAACTCGCCATGATCTCACACTCTTCTCGACATATCACCACGGCCGCAAGCGCCGCCGAGGAGGCATTGTTGCTCGGGGAGCCACACGGACGAAGCATCGCAAGATCGCCCGCAAACTCCTAGGCGCACACGCCTTCGTCCTTGAGCGAATGATGGCTATCTTTGCCGGTGTACGAAATGAATGGGCAGATGGCACTGCTGTAGGCGCTGCCGGCCTCGATGCAGATGTAGCCATGGCTGTGTCAACGCTTGCGAGCCTAAGACTCTTGACGCGAGTAGGAGGCGCAGGAGATATCATGGATCGAGGAGGCAAGTGGAGGATCAATGTTGCATGGGAGGTGATACGAGGAATAGGGAGAAGTATAGGTGTCGAAGTTGAAGAATGGCTGATAGATTAATACCCGAGGTATATAGTAGACCGACCAGTTGGGCATCTCGATTAAAGCATGACATATATCAAGCAAGATTTTAAACCAGATCGTTAATATGTCATGCTCGAGCTGTGATTGCAGGCTCATCTATCCAAAATAGTCCAGCATTATCATTCCATATCCACGTAATGATACATTGCATCCGGCGCCCCCTTTTGAAAAAGGAGGGCCTCACAAGTGTCGTTGTGTCTTGTCTCTCAAAACCAAAAAACGCCATTCCATGATATGTCATACAGGAACCCACACCCCTTCATCTAGATATCGGGACATAAAGTAGCAGCAACACCTTACACGAGAAACTCTAGCTCCCATGTCTTTTGATTGTTTGAATTCGAAACACCAAACCTGTTCACCAAAGAAATACGCAGTCCAATACATACTCGTGAGAAACATCATGCAACGCCAGCAACTCGATCGCCTGGCTGCCATGTGTCTTCCTGTTTAGTTCCTGGAGGAAGCCAGCCTCCGTTACCAGTGCCAGGAGTACGGCTGCGAGAAACGCCATCATCCGACTTTTTTGGATCCTCTGCCGCAGATGGCCGACCAAAGTAGCCTTCATGGTAGGGATAAGAACGGGTGTTGAGGTCAGTACTTTGAGGGGATTCCATGATAGGTGTCGGGCGCAATCCATTGTTTGTGATGGGAAGAATCGATGATCGCTTAATCTGCATCGACTGAGCCTTTTGATCGGCCTTGTTGCCAGACTTTGTTCGGTCATACAAGTACAGACCCAGAAAGGTGAGAGCAATGCCCACACCTTGTAGGGGTGTTGTGGGACTCCTGAACCATACCAGAGCCAAGACAATGACGAACACACGCTTTATGAGGCTGGCTACTGAGTAGGTCACAGGGGATACCATGGAGAGCAGGATGAAGGCGAGAATGTTCTGGCCAAAATGGAAGACACCGTTAAACACAAACTCAAGCGTGAGTCTTCCATGGTCCATCGAGTTGGGTTGCTCATTCAAGTCTATCGAGCCCTCGCGGTAGAAGTTCATGAGAAGAGTGAACCCTTCAGACCAAAACCAGATGGGCAACGTAAGAAGGAAAGCCATGCCAGAAGAGTAGCAAAGTAAGTTGAGCTTATCCAACTTCTTAGGTAGTGTATGGGGAGACTCAGCCTCAGCTTTAGCAGCCTCGTTGAAGAGCTTCTTAGAGAAAATGTTTTGGGTAACGAAGATGACGGTGGCCAAAAGAGCATGAATGACACCAATGAGCTCTCCACCATAGGTTGTTTTGCCCGAGCAGGCCAACATGACACCAAACGTGAGAGGGATCAGAGACAGGTACGTCGTCTTGGGGTACCGAATGTCGTACACGATCCTATAAGCGAGAACGGTAAAGAGGGGTGAAAGACCCTTGATGGTATGGACAAGTGACACAGGGATCTTTGAGGTAGCTGTCGAACTGAGAAGGTGACCTCCGATCTGGAATGCGGCTAGAGGCAGAGTCGTTCTGATAACGTCGCGAGTTGGCTTTCGAATCGGGTGCTTGAGAGCTGTAATTTTGGTTCGCAAGACTGGGAAGATGGTCGCAAGCCATGCCATCAGGATACATAACGAGGAGACGAAAGCGAATTGGACCAGTGTCAAGGTAGCGGGCTTGTCAAAAGCTATCAAGATGGACTTGGAGGAGGTGTTTGTAAGGGCAGACGAAGTGTACCACAACAGGCACAGAATCTGTGTACCGCAACATCAGGTCAGCACATTGAACTGGTAACTCAACATTTGGCTTGGGACTCGGGAAGAAGGGGCGTACAATAAGCTTCGGAGAGACGGGGGCACGGAGGGCATCGGCGATCTCGTGGGCGTTCTGGCTCACACTGCCATTGCGACCAATTGTACGAATAGCATCCGTGAGGCTCTTTTGTCGATTGTGCCCTCGAGGGGCCGTTGACCAGCCATTATCTGACTTGGAGACGGGCCGCCATCGATCTGAGGGACGAGGAGGTGCGCCGTTTGCCCAACTGGGAGGATTCAAAGGGCTCTCTGAGGGTGACTCGCCCAGGGGCGTATCGATGAAGTCGGGGAACTTTTCCATCACAGGAGAGTGATAAGAAGGGAGAGAGGATTAAATTGTGGCGCAAAGGCCAGATATTAAAGTTGCGTGTTCAGTTTGAATTGATTCGAAGCGGTTGTTTAACGAGCGACAGATGATCAAGGTAAGATTCGAGTGACCCGTTATAATCGTCGACAAAAACGTATGCTCATCGCTTATTATCGAAGGGTCGACTCGTAATGGCTATCTCGCAAGTGAGGATGGATGGATGTACCTGAGGCTGTAGGCCAAGGCGCGAGCTGCAAGTCGAATGACGAAGCCAAGCCCGAGAACGAAAGCGGGAGGGAGCAAACGACAGCGATCGAATAAGGCGACGAGACGTTGCTGCTCTATGCAAATACGGACCAGAGGCTGGTGAAGCTGAAGAGAAAAAAGAATGCCAAGTTACAACCAAGTGCTGTAGCTTCTGTTGGATGGTGTTCACGTCCAAGTGGGAATGGTGCAAGTGGGATAAGCAAGGTACAGCCTATACATAATTAAACCAAGGGGCTCGCTCCAATAGAAGGACGAATCGATGCCAGATAGATTACACACGGGGGGCTACAGGGGCCCTTCCCTTGGGACCTTCTGTAATAAGCCTGTAACAAACATTACGTGGCTTGCTAGCCTCCCTCCGCGGTTAGTCCGGCAGCCGCCGCTGATAAGCTGATAACGCACCTTTAGCCGCCCTGAGCCGCCATTTATTTTACATGAGCTAACCAAGGTAGGTAAGCTAAGGCTACCTAACCTAAGGCTAAGCTGCTACTCTGAGGTTGACGGGAGACAGACTTTTGAGGGCGTCGCGCAAAAGTCGTCTCCACCTGCATCAGCTAAACCAATCTCTCTGTTGGCGCATCCAACTGTGTTTTTGTTTCAACATCACTCTCCCTCGGCTCTTGCGTATATTCTCTCTGCAACTTCAGGGCATGAACAGGGACCCTAAGCAGGCCATTCTCGCGCTCGCCTTGTCCTACGCCACCTTTCAGCTCACGACCCAAGTCTTTAATCCAACTACAAGCAAAAGACAATCCCTGGTCGCGACTCCAACGTCGCCAGCCTCTGATTCACTATGGCGGCCCCAAAGATGACCAAGAACCAGATGCGAAGGGCCAAGAAGAAGGAGCAGAAGAAGGCTCAAGCAGAGGTACGTTCTGGTCTCCTCGCCCCCGTTCCGACGTCACCAGCTGACGCGCTACAGGCTACCCCTACAAAGACCGAGGAAACCGCCGAGACCACCAACCGTGAAGAAAGCGATGCCGTCGAAACTACGACGACAGATCTCGGAGTGAAGAAGGGGTCGACAACCGAAGATGCCGCCACCACAGATGGCCATGCGATCGAAGTTGACATGGATGAGGAGGATCCTGCGTATGCCATGTATAAGGACATCTTTAACAAATTCGGCGCGTCGATGGAAGAGGACGAAGTCGCCAAGGAGGCCAACGCTGGCAATCAAGGGACAGTGTTTTACGCGGATGACGACGAGATTCCAGACGAAGACGAAGAAAACAACGGACAGCCCAAGTTATCCAAAAAGAAGAAGAAGCAGCTCAACACCATCTCTATCGCAGAGCTTAAGGCATTGGTCAAGGTCCCTGAGGTGGTAGAATGGCAGGACGTATCCTCGTCGGACCCTCGACTACTGGTCCAGATCAAAGCCCAACGAAACGTCGTCCCAGTACCAACCCATTGGTCTTTAAAGCGAGAGTATCTGTCTTCAAAACGAGGTATCGAGAAGCCACCTTTCCGGCTACCCCAGTTCATCGCAGAAACCGGCATTACCGAGATGCGCGATGCCGTCCTCGATAAACAGGCAGAACAGTCATTGAAGCAGAAACAGAGGGAACGTGTTGCTCCGAAGATGGGCAAGCTCGATATCGATTACCAGAAACTCTACGATGCTTTCTTCCGGTTCCAGACCAAGCCCGAATTGACGCGATTTGGTGAGGTTTACTATGAAGGAAAGGAGTCTGAGGTCGATTACCAACATTTCCGACCAGGTGACCTCACCGAGGGTACTAAGGAAGCCCTGGGAATGCCCCTTGGCGCACCACCACCATGGCTCATCAACCAACAACGGTTTGGGCCTCCTCCATCCTATCCCACGCTGAAGATACCTGGACTGAATGCGCCACCACCCGCTGGAGGCTCATGGGGCTTCCACCCCGGCGGTTGGGGCAAACCCCCAGTTGACGAGTTCAACAGGCCTTTGTTTGGTGGTGATGTCTTTGGCCTTGCGGCACAGGGTGGACAAGGAGGGGCACAAATGCACGCGGGGACTGGTGAGCCTGTAGAGAAGAACCTGTGGGGTGAGCTGCAGCCACGAGAAGAGGAATCAGAGGAGGAAGAGGAAGAGTCAGACGAGGAGGAAGAGGAGGAAGATGAAGATATTCCTGGCGGAACAGAGACACCCAGTGGCCTCGAGACTCCCGGTGGTTATGCCAGCACAGTGCAGGCGGACTACGGGCAAGGTGTCGAGACGTCTATCGCTGGTGAGATGGACTTACGAAAGGAGCGCCGTGGCTACGACACAGAAGAGTCTAGTGCTCCTCGATCCGCCTACACGATCCTGCCAGAGCGCCAAGTTCGCGCTGAAGGGTTCTTTGGCAGTGACAGGGTATATGACCTCAAGCAAGCGCAGGCAGCTCAACGAGCGGGCGTGCCTGTTCTCGGCGCCGAGGACGATTCACGCAAGCGCAAGAAGCCTGGTGACATTGACGTTGCTCTTGATGTCGACTCGTTGCACAACCACGATGGTATCAGCAAAGACGACCTGCGGCGCAAGTTCGAGGAGGGTAGGAAGGAAGAGGGCATTGGAGCCAAGTGGGCATATGACGATGACCTGAGTGAGATGATCGCCCAGGAGAGCAGGAAGAGGCAGAAGACGGAGGCGGAGCTCAAGGAGAAGCGGAGGGAAGGCAAGGGCAGATACTAATATTGACAGATGAGAATTGTCAGACTGTACCATCGATGGGGACCAGGGTTAGTGACCAGGCGCTTTAATATCTTGTTTATAAGGGGGACAGACCAGCTCAACGGCTAAAATAGGATGAACGCCGTACCTCTTGAGGTTTGGTAAATGCATCAAGGACATGGTTGTAGAGTGAATATCAAACGAGTGGCCGCGATGAGACTTTCTCGGTCAGGGATGCATTGGGCTTTGAGTTCCTGGCTTTGCTGCAGGCAAAATGGAACAAATCCGACAAGTCCTCTCAGAATATGTTATGTAAATGTTAGAATATTGGACTTGTATCACAATATGTTGATCTATGTCATCAAAGAGTTGCTTTGTCTGACAGTCAATTCGACGTTGTGTTTGATGACAGTTTGAAACGCCAACTTGACCCGGTCGAAGTTCCCTTTGTCACTGATCGAGATGATCTCGATGAGATCCTCAACTCTAATACGGGGCTAATGCCTGTGTTGTTAGTGGTAAACTTGCCGTCTCATTCCGTTGTTGGATTGGTGTTTTGCGTACCTGATTTACTCTAGAGAGCTTGGCGGCTTTCTGGAAAGAGAAACAGAGAGTGACAAGCGAATGAAAGTCCCACCTGTTACTAGAAGACGCAGGTACATATGCAATGATAGGTACTTGGCAACGGGTGCGTGTGCGTGTGCGTTCAAGTGTGATGTTCATGGACATAGCCACGGCCTGCAGATGCTGATTCGATTCTGGGGCTGGAGCCCGTCACGCAAGGCCGGGACACAAGGCCATTGTTCACGACTGATGAAGATGAACACAGAATGCCCCTGTAAGTACCTAACGCTGAAGCTCGGGGGATATTCGGTTTAAGTTGCAGGTGCCAGCTCTGATATGTTGTTTGTCTGGGCTGTATTGGCAGCGCTTTACCTGTCGTTGAAGCTACTATATAAGTCAATCTTTCGTTTCAAGAAACCAGCAAAGCCAACAGCTCTTGAGCTCTTGCCCATTGCAAGCTTGCTATTGGTTAACAGTCATCTGCATGTGTCAGAACAACGGAACTAGTGCGGCCAACTGCTGAGGCCAGCCAACGGCCAAAAAAAGACAGGTCATCACATATCGCAAACAGAGGTATGTGGAGTGTACTGTACATGGCGGTCGCATCAAGGCACAAAAAGAGAGATTCAGCTAAGATTTGCAAAAGAACATACAACAGCGGGGATTCGCTGGTCGTCACCGACCCAACTACTAATCCGCCGGTTAGTGGCTTGACTATGGGAGAGCGGACGGGATCCCGTATTTTCCACTACCTTTGGTCGTATGTGAAAGAAAGTGGTCACCATTCAGATTATATCCACGGGTGATAGAGCGAGTGGACGGTTCCAGGAGAGTAAGAGTAGGGAGGAGTCATAGTCTAAGTCACCTATTTCTGTTCACTTTTTTCCTGGTACTAACGCTCTTGATTCTGGATATGAACTCTGCCGCAGAAGGGCTCCATCACCTAGAATTGCGTTGTGTTGTGTTGTCTACAGCCCATAGAGTGCCAAACGTTGAACGGCAGGACCAACCTTGGAAGTCTAATGCGAAGACTCTGTTGTAAATCTAGCATGGCTGAGCTGATGAGTAAGGTAAACGTTTGCCTAGGTACCTAAGGTATCTCAGCTATGGTATGTAGGAGCCTCCCTCACAGAGGCTTGCACGCGTGAGTGAACCAGGTGGGGTCGCGATGTGGGATAACTAACATCCAACCACATCAGATCAGATCGTGGGGGGAAATGCGAGGATCATGTCGCGACGTTGTCGGCCTCGCTGAGAGTTGTCCAAGAAGAAGCGATAAAGCAGCAGAACACGATGACTTTATCGAGACTGACTCCGTTATTAAGCCGGTACTCGCTTAGCCTCTGTATGATCTTGGCAGACAGAGTTGGGTGAAGAAGATGTTGGAACACTGCCTGATGGCACGTTGAGAGAATGACCTCTGTTGAGTCTGTATAGGGACTGTAGGTGGATAGTCATGGTTGCTTTTGCAGGAAACGTGGCGATTGGCTGATGCTGATGCTGACAACATGAGGCTATCTGGTACCTATGTTGGTTCTCATGATGGGCATTGCTTGGGCGTGGTCACGAGGTGGTCACCCAATGAATACAAGCAAATTCTGTCGTGTATATAGCAAATAATCGCGTCAACTCGCACAATCCATCGAGGCCACCGTGCCCGATATACCTACCATACAAGAATCTTTGGCTCGCCTGTGCCAATGGATGTTGATCTGCTGCCCATGGCCATGACGTGAGCTGGCGGCAGCGAGGTGACCATGATGAAACCACCCACTTGGTCGACAAAGTTGATATCATTCTGAGCATCCTTCATTGGCCGTATTAACACGGTATGAATAATTATTGTGGCATTTTATTGGTGTCGAGGCACTTCCATGACACTGCTCATCCAACTCATGATGGCCTCATCATTCTGCCATCAACCATGGAAAGGTCATATCACCTTCAACATTCCCTGAACCTTACAGAAACTAGCTCTCAAGCTTGATATAGTGAGTCCCATCAATATTCTTGCAAATGCAATATGTTCTGGTCTGGATGTGTACGCCTGTGAAAGATCTTAGCACGAAATAACAGTACAGGGTCTTCAAGTTGTTCAACAAGCCTTTCATCTTGAAGATAATAATAGTACAGATGCTAAGACGACTGGGATACTCACATCATGTCTAATACCTGTGGTATTGGAAACGATATCACCATTTGGACACTGTCCGTCCGTCCACTTGAATGTCACGCTCCCAACAAGCACCTCGTCAAACCTCTCGTCATATAGCACATGCTGTAAAATAGGTAGAACACCAAGAGTGACCAGATATTGTCAAGGGGGTTCTTATTTTATTTGGTTAGAACGTACATTTGCCATTTCCCCGAATCGTACTCTCCCTACATTGATCCGCCCTGGTCGTTCAGTTTTGTCAAGATCCTTCCACTTGGCATCCACTCACATTTGTGACCTCGATAGATCTCAAATCAATCCATCTCTGTATAGGGCCAAGTTCAACTTGAAGAAGGCTCTCTTTATGAAAAGGTTTAATGCGTAAAGAAGAGGTTTGATCCAAGAAAATCAAGCTTGAGTTTCTCTCCATCAGTCTTTGATCTTGAACAACATCCTCAATTCTATCGGATGCATCAGCATCTGAAAATACGGCTCGATGCCTCCCCTGTACTCATTATGCATATCTTTGAATCTATCAGACTGTTATGCTGTCCCGTGACAAAATATTTGGCGATACCATCAATTTGATTTTGTGCTGTTATCATCCTGAGGACGTCACTTTTGTAGCAATGGCCGAGACTGTTATGACAACCGCCCAGCATGCCTGAAACTTGATTAGTGAGTACTAGAGATCTCTTTTTGACATCTATATCAAGTGAATTCGACTTGTAGCTTTTCCAAGTAGGTATTGTGAAGTGCCATGGGTGAATGAGCCTGCCAGTCTGCAAGGTCTTTTGAATTTTCCATCGACAATGCATCTGTTGAATACAACATATTGACCACTCCCAGATCGTGCAGACCGAGGTCGTTTCGTCAAGACCGGAATTGGCATGACTACTTGTGTTGAAGTTGTGGTGGCGGCCATCAACTGTTGCATAACTTAACTGTTCACCCATCCCCATATCACTAGGCAGTCTCCCTGACTTGCAGATACACTCAAGTGCCAGCCGCACCAACTGAGTTACGCTTTGCTTACTGTACTGTTCCCTTGAATCCAATGTTACAACTTACAGCAGCGTCTTCAACTAGCCTTGCATGTTCGCCTGGTCGTGGTGATACTCAAGGTAATCATCGCAATGGTTTGCCATTTCATCGTCACGCTGAATTCTGTTACACACGCAAACAAACAGCAAAATGCAGGTAGTATAGTTATATAATACAGACCTCCAAAAGCTTGCATGCAGTACGAGCTGCCTCAACAGAGATGAGCTGCGAAAACCCAGCAATGTCCACGCCTGAAAATCCACCCTCTACCTCAATCCTGATCAACCGACTCCGGGCATGCCTTCTCATCAATGTCCCGATCCCAATAAGCGCCGAAACGACTATAAAAACATAAATTTAATGCCATCCTTCCGCTCACGATATCTCCAATTCTGGCTATATTCCCCACCACAAAATCTTGAGGCGATTCTTCACATCTTTTTGGAGCTCGCCGCTTTCGTGTTAGCTTTTCGAAACCTGGCCCTCTTCATGGCTGTGGGCTGATCAGATTCCCCAACAGCCACATTCACACGTCTCTTTCTCAGCGCTTGACGCGTAGTCATCGAATGGGAAGCTTTTGCGCTTTGAGAACCAGTGCTGCTTCGTTCGCCTCCTTTCAAGCTTGCTGAACTATGTACTGGGATGCTTCGCAAGGATATGGACACCCCGCTCTAGGAGGTTGCTTCCGTTTTGCTACACCCATTGCAAAGCCATTTGGGACGAGTGACCGGAATGGATGCTGACTTCTCGATACAACTAGCATGGTATAGTCGATTTGAGCATTTCTAGAAAATTGTTAATAGTGGTTTGCCGTCAGACAGCTCTGGCATTACCTTGTTTGAACAGACGAGTAGAGAAGGTCCGAGAACGGGGAGCTGACACACTGTACACCCATTCGCGCCTCTCGTAATTTGTGAAGCTCGAGGCGAATGTTTTAATGTGGCATCCGCCGTATTGGCACCGTTCATCTTCGCATCCTCATCTGATTTCAATCGAGCTCGTGCCTCGTCAATCAGCTTCCCGGCTTTCTCAACACTAGCGTTATCCAGGACATCCCGCGCCATCAGAACACACAGGTGCTTGCCATACTCGTTCATCCGATAATTCGCACCCACCAGCCAAGAGGCATTCTCTTTGACAAACTTGACCCAAGCACGCCGGAAATATTGCCCAGATGTGACGTTTTCTTGAAGAATAAATGCGTCCCATCTGCGAATGTATTCCTTCTCTTCTTTTGAGACGTCGGAGAATTCGCCGATATCTTCGCGATGCTTCTGTAACAACCATGCATTATCCACCACGGGCTTTGGCAACTCCTCACCAGGTTTCAGGCGAGCTTTGCTGACAGGGTCAAAGAGAGGTTGACAAGATTCTGGAATGATGACCTTCTTCTTTTCCGGTCGCGGAATCATTGCCTGCACTGCCGCTGGAGGCTGAGGAGGACTTTCGCCAGATTTTCCAAAGAGTTGTCGTTCGGTGCTGTGCTTCGGTGAAAACCGCACAACATCTTCCATGTGGTCTGGGCCATAGCGTGAAGTTACCCAGGAGTCATCGCCGTTAACGTAGGCCTGCTGATCAAGCGGCTTTGTGGGTTTTCCGAGCTGCAGCTCTTTTGAAGGCGAGACTGCAGGTCCCGAAACATGAGTAATCCGGAACAGCGGCCCTTGACTCGTCTTTTCCAGTGTGTACACATAATTCGGATGGTATGTCATTAGGTGAGCTCTCAAAATGTCCAATGACTCGTTAGCGTTGCCACAGGCACAACACTGCCATGAGAGTAGGTGAACCGGTGCATTAGCTGACAGCATATACGTGACGAAACCCTCGCCTTGCTCAGGTTGCCCAGCCTTATCTCGGGGTTTGCGCTCTTTTCCATGGGCTTGCGCAGTCAGTACCTTCAAGTTGTATTGCTTGTTATTCCGTTTTCGTAATGCTCGGTTAGGAGTGTGGTCGCCTTCTAGCTCTTCCTCTAGATCATGAGAGATGTCATGCGACGAGTCTTCTTCGCCAACATGCCCGTTCACTCCATTCGTCTCTTGTACTCCGTTCACATCCTCGACCTCATGCATGACCCCATTGATGCCATTCACACCACCCATTTCTTCGTCATCGTCTTGAAGACCATTGATGCCGTTGGTGTCGTTGGTATCGTTGGTGCCGTTTATCTCAGGAATATCATTTGTGAGATGAGTGCTGCTGGTGTCATCGATATCATCCTCAAGCTCGGGTGGGCTCGCGCTGTCGAGAAGATCATCAGATATAGGTTCAAGAACACCATTGGTGTAAATCTCGCCGTCTGAATCGAAAGCAGTAATGCAGTTTTTTGCAGTCTTGTCAATTCGTCGGGTACCCGAGGCCCATTTCAATTCTACATCCATCATATAATTAGTCAGACGTTCATGGCGCTGTGGGTGGAATCCGGCTGTGAGCTTGACGGGTTTCTTTATCCTGCCAAAGACCTGGGGAAACTCGCTATGCAGTATCCAAGTTTGCTTGGCAATTGCTTGGACAGGCCCTTGCTGGCTTGCGGGGACACCAAGCTCATGGGCTTCGAGAGGCGGCCAGTTGCCATCCTGAACTGAAAACATTTCGACGTCCAATCTATATGCGTTCGAGAAGTCATGGGATGGGTCATCCTGCCTGTTGACTAAGATACTTTCCTTAGGGACAAGGAATGGCTTAGGTGGCTTGATGTAAGCAATCCGATGAGGGCCTGACGGGTTCGTGTGAGAGACGATGTCACAGCTCTGGCTGCTGCGATATAGGATGTGGGTGAAGCCACCACTCACATCGGAAACGGTGATTTGGCATTTGGCCTTAGTTTTGATGATATCGTCTGGAGGAAGAGCATTGAGAGGTCGGACTTTCTTAGAGTCCTTGTGAAAAATCTTGTGTATCTCAACACGTAGAGCCGTACGATCTTCTGTGTCAATGAGTGAGGCGTCGCCGTTGGACTGGGAAACCGAGAGCTTCTGACGCTTTTGTGGAGGGCCACTATCATCTTGGCTCTTGGGCGTTGAGAGGGTCGCGCCCATATTTTTCGCGTTATGAGCAGCTTCCCAGTTGCGCTGGGTAAAGGGAACAGTCCTGGTGAAAGGCTTTTTCTGGGTCATGGCGGAGAAAAGCGACACCTTGACGGTATGAGATGATCCGAGGAGCAGTGCTCAGTCCAGGTAGGAAAAGGTGCGCAATGCGACAGACAGACAGAGAGGTGAAGATTGGCCGAGAATGTGAGAGGTTGTGACTGTGCTTATTGGTAAAGCGGGTTGAAACGTCGCAGTCCGTAGTTGCGATTATGAGAAACAAGGCGTAAGTAATTATATATTAGTAGTTGATGGCCTTGACGCTCATGGCTGATGTGTGTTTGTTTGTCGTCATGCGAACGGGTTTGTCAGGGCAGGAAAAATGACAGCCGAAAAAGGCCAGTGAAATAAAGCAGAAGCAACGGATAGTTAGAGGCAAGAGCGAGAAACAGCAACGCCACAAACTGCAGAATCGGACCGGGAGGAGAAAAGTGAAGAAGGCGGGATAGAGATGAATATAGTTGAAAAGAAAGAGCGCTTATGAATGAATATGAACAGGAGTGAGACCCTAAGGTTAAGATAGGGAAGGCGACTGCAGCTGTGTTGTGCTGTGTGCGTGTCCTTGGTACTCGAGCGAGGTGGATGTAAATAAATGGGTTAAAGGAGGAGATGCGAGAGCCCGGTCGCGTGTGGTGACAGTCCAAATTCTGTAGGTAAGGTAGGAGGTACCTTAGTTTCGGTTCAGTGCTGTGGCCAAGGTACTATCGCTCGCTGCCCGTCACTCCTTCTGGGAACTGCCCTGTCTGATCCCGATACGCGCTGTAGAGTTAGAGAGCGGGTTTCAGCGGACTCTATTGCATCGAAATGAAGCAGCAGTAGGCGAGAATGAAGCCTGTAGAGCGTCCTCATGAGAAGCGACGGGACTAGAGCTGACAGTAAAGGTAGGGTTAAGGTAAGGTAGGTAGGTAGGTAGGTAACAATGAAGAGCGCGGTAAGAGACGCGTGCCAGTGGCAGGTTAAGAAGCAGCCCTGCTCGTGAGGTGGGAATTCTATCGCGACTCCCTACTACGGACTAGAGCCTATAGCCCTCCTAGCGTCATGCCTGGAAACTCGAGAGTCACCAACAACCGCCATTCAGAGGCGATGGCCTAGCGGGGTGGATCCACTGACCACTGACAGGGCAGTGGAGCGAATTAGAGACTCTGCTTCAAGCAGAGACTTAACCGCTGGAAATTATTATGCATGCAGGCGGGGTGTTGTACCAGTACGCTGTGTGGTGAGCGTGAGTGTGAGCCCCTTAGCCTCTTGTTAACTGCAAATGCAAATGTCTGGTAGGTTTGCAATTGGATCGCGGAACACCATAAAAAAGGTCCCTTTGTCTACCTATCCTCTAACTTGCTATAGATATGAGCCGGTTTCAAGCCAGATTTTCCGATTCAGTCTCTCAGCACTAGGCCTCCTCTAGGTAGTGAGAGACCATTTCCAATAAGAAACTCTCCAGGATCATGGTCCGGTCCCCCTCGATTATGCATGTAGGCGAAGTGCCAGGACCCCTTTAGCCTCATGGTACAATGCCTTCATGGATCTTCGATGATCCATCATGAGATGAAGAGGGTCATCATGGCTTGTCGCTGGCGACTAATCTACATTGTATAGGACTTGCAGCACAGCCTTGACTGGTTCGGGGTTTTGATATCTCCTTGGGGGCTATATTGAAGGAGGGAAAATCAAATGTTTGCTTTTGTGCCGTCCGCCCTGTTTGAGTGCAAAATATCCTAGAGGCAGAAGCAGAGCTTGCTGTCTCATGGGGATGAGACGTAAACTTCCAACAACATGAGACTTGGTAGTTAGTAAACAAACTATTCCGACAGGATAAAAAGTATCATGAACTTCTACTAATTCAATTCGTATTCTTGCTGTTGAATGTTTGCTTCGATATTGCCTGTCCCTCCCTGTCCCTCAGTGAACTTTGGGTCTCGCAGGTTTACAGAAGCGTACGGATATGGCATTGGTAGCTTTGATTGGCCACGGCATACCGACTCTGTTCTTGGAGCTCCACACCGACCCGATCGAGGTGCATCACCACAAGGTTGGAGTGGGAGTCTACTTGGTAGGAGAGGAAAGAAAACTTAGGACCTTGGACCTAAATGATAAAAAGACTTAGGTGATGTGGTATAAGCTTAGGGTATCTCTGCTACAGTTAAGATACTTTTTGTAGAGTTTATTTTGATACCTTATATCAGGGCATGATGTTTTCTTGCTCCCTAGTGGGAGGAAAGAATAAGACGGCGCATGCGTACAAGCGAGATCATTTATAAGAAATGATAGGAGATGTTTTAGGTAGACATGATGGACATGTAGTCATTAAATATATTATTAATCATTACTGACTAGTTTTTTGTTTCCTGCTCAATTTAATATTGTTTTACTGTTGATCAAACCCTATAATTCATACCTCCCCTCACGTCCGGGTGCCCTGCAGTGGCCCCAAGTTTCTTCGACCTTGCCCCTCCAACAAACAAACACCCGGGCCTAATAACTTAACAACGACATCACACTCAGACCCAGTCTTGGACTTGCTTGATACGGTCCACCACTTCATGGCCTGACAACAAACCGCAGCGCACCCGAATACACTCGAGTCGATAGCAGCGCTACGTATTGGCGCTATTTGGCACATTTTTCTTGGTACTCTTGAATTCGTCATTACTCGACCTCGACTGCGGGGAGCTTCAAGCCTCCAAACTCTGCCTTCAGAGGTGCGATCAATCCATCCTGCCCAGCTTGCGCCAGGCTGCAATAACCATCAACAGGACTGGCCAAACACTCCCTCTTGTTTGCACGCAGCGAGATTAATAGTATGCCACTAACATGGTCGTTACACCAGGCACCAGGCATCACAACATGGTCCGAACTAGAGCAACTGAACGACAAAGCGTTCCTGTAGCCTCCCGTCGCAACCTGTCGCAATCCATCACCACGCGTGCTACCCGAACAACAACACGTCCCCTACGGTCGCAGAAGACTTCCATAAGTTATAACGAATCTTCCTCCGAAGATGGAGACTCCGATCCATCCCTAGCGGAGAGCGAACAGGATGGAGATGCCCAATTCGAGACGCGAGCTCGCAGAACCAATAACGCCAAGTCAGCAAAGGCCGCACACGTACGAACTGGTAGAGTATCGAAGTCACGGGACCAAACGAGGAAACGACCAAAGTCGGCACCGAAGAAAGGAAGCTTGAAGAAGCGACGAGTGTCCGCTGACGCCGAACCCGAACCAATACCCCAAGGCGTCATTCCAGACTGGACAGACCCGCAGATACCTTATGCCGCCTGGACCGATATCTTCTATTATGCAGCTAGCCATGATGACATCGACGTCAATTGGCTGATAAACACTGCCACAACTTGTAAGGCATTCTCAGAAGCCGCCTTGACAGCCATTTATCGTTCTCCGCCCTTGATCACTGCTGGAAAGGCCAAACGGTTCGCGTCTCTGCTGGATCGCCCACCTTCTGAGACTCGTTTTAATTACCGTGCCAAGATTGAGACTCTTTACGTAGATGTTCATGTGTTGCCTCAAACGATACTACCAAGAATCCTCCATTTGCTTCCTCGCCTAAAAGAAGTCTTACTCTTTACACAATCTGATCAGCCGCCTTACAGGCAACTGGATCAAACAGTGAGATGGCAATATACTGAAGAGATATTCGCCGCCTTCAGACCAGCTGGAGACAAGGAGTCGTACACCCTATTGAAAAGCTGGGAATGGAGCGGAAGCCTGCTTGGAGGGCCTGTGGCGACCATGAAGGATGTTGCCCGTATACATCAAGAGCCCTCATTTGCGCACCTCACCAAACTAAGCTTCACCAATCTTCAAGTCCCTTCGCTCTATAAGCTGGGGCCTAAAGGCGTCAATGAGGAGCAGGAGCTGGCGCTGTACAATGAAGATGGGGCTGTCATTGATTCGCTCGCCGAGGCGATTTCGCAATTGAAATCGCTACAACATCTTATGTTCGAATCTTCAACTGTCATGAACGATCGGCTTCTTCCACTTTTGCCAAGGGACCTCACTCATCTCTCACTGATCAACTGTTGGGAGGTCAAGTCTGATGAGTTCATGCCATTCCTACACACGCATGGCCGACATTTGCGCAGCCTGAACTTGTCGCACAACCAATCTCTAGACATGGTCTTCCTAACGACTTTGGAAGCTGCATGTCCCAATTTAGAGGAATTATACATGAACCTCTCGTATTTTCGCCATCATGAATCCCGGTCTTACACCAACAATGACGCTGACCCTTTGTACGACCAAGTGCTATTGCCGCACCAAAAGCCAGAGTGGCCGTCAAGCCTCCGGATCATTGATTTTGAACATGTCCGATATTGGAGTGTTGAGACTGCCGAAATGTTCCTCAATTCCCTCATAGATAGTGCTCGTTCTCTGCCAAATCTACGACATCTTGCGGTCAAGACAATGCTCAACATACCCTGGAAGGCCCGTGCTAATATGCGGCACGAATGGAGGCGGAAGCTGGATAAAGTCTTCCTCCGCCCATACGAACCTCCGCAAAGGAAGTATTCTCTTCGGCAGACACAAGAGGAAGAGGTGGAAGCATCTGCGCAGATTTCGGAGAAAAAGAAGCAAAAGTCAAAAAGGCTGTCTGATGGTCCATCTCGGAGAAGCAGTCGTCTAGCGGCACACGTTTCGGACTCTGATTCAAGGCACAGCTCCAAGGTTCTTCGTAATTCGCTTGGTCGGCCAACTTATGCCGAACCCGACACGGATGAGAATGAGTTCGAGTCTGACGCAGAAGACGAAGAAGCCGAGTCCGGCACTGCAACCAGTCAGACTGGGGATGAGGCTGAGGCTGAGAGTGAAAAGAAGCATGTGCCGCTTACGATTCAAGGACGTTGTACTACTGTATCAATTGTATTCGATAACCAAAAGCCTACTGAATTGCAGTACGGTATGGAAGACTTTGTGGATGATGACCGCGCTGAGTCGGACGACGAGTGGGACGGCGACCATGAAGAGGAAGATGATGCAGTCTTTGTCTGGCGTTAACTGAGCAAAGACTTCTCTATCGTAGCTGATAACTTGAGGTTCAGAGAGACTTAGCATTTTTAGATTTAGAATGCAGCATCTGCTGGCTCTTTTGGAGTTCATATATGAGTATTAGTAGGATATAGTATGAACGGTCTCGAAGCGGTACAACTTGGTTTTTACAGTAAAGTGACAGATGTTCCCACTCGCCATGTCTTTTGATAGACTAAGACTTAACTACTGCATACTCCAACAACTTGGCCAGCGTAATGCATCATGCGTTCTTTGAGTGTATGGCCCAGATCCCTATGTCATGTCACGCTGGTTCCTCTCAGGTACGCACGAACCCCTGCAAAGCATGGTGAGAACGGTTTCAATCACAGATGAATGCACCTCAGCTTCGCACACACTGGAGGACAGTTTGTGAGTCCTAATCATTCATGAAATTGTGTTGAAGCGTGGCCGTGTACCTTTTTACTTGGTCTTGCGGCACATGGCAACCGAGTCTTGGACCTGGAAGCTTCTCCAGATGCAGGAATTGTGATCTGGCCTTGAATACAGTAACATTGGTTGCTCAATCAGAGTCTGGCGAGGCCACGGCTCAGTTTCTACCTTGCAATCACCGCGTGGGCAGTTGGTAAAATTCAAACTTGTCGATTCTTCCTCGTTGGCTTATAGGGCGGGCAGCTTTGTTTCGTACTATCGAGACTGTGTGGGGTGGTGGGTGTGTTTGGCTTATCTTACTGTAAGGTAGGTAGGCTAGGTTAGTAGGTATAAGTAAGGTTCATGAATATTTGATATACGACACGCTGATAAATTGCATGGAATTAGAACCTACAGTGCAGTTTATGTTCTAGTTAAGTGTTTATGATATTGGCACATGAGTTTGAGATACCGGCGCATCTTATGAGTGAGCATGATGGATACCTCAGTAAACGAGCACGCCTATCATGGGGCCTTACTAGGTACTACTAACAGTCAAAAAAGAGGCAATTTATAAGGCTGGCTATACGCGCTGGTACAGTTCACACTCCAAAGGCAATAGCTAGGCTGAATTCACATACGATAGGCTCATCATAATTATTATCTCTCATACAACTGTTGTACAAGCAGGACGTCTCGACCCAATGGAAGTAAACATGAAAATCTCCCAAGTCTTGAGCTTTTTCATGGCCAGAAGCAAATGGAAGCAACGCTTACAGGAACCCAGTCCTGCATATTCGACAATCATACAAGCATTAACGACAATCCTTTAGCACCAAGTTCCTAATAACATCTTGTGCCACATGTTTTTAAAATGCAGCACCACCCATGCCTTCACCAGCCAGGTTCTTCATGCTCTTCTCGCTCAGGTCACTCCGCATCTCCCACGCTCGCGAGTCACGTTCGAGTCTATTCCACGTGTACAGACTTTTCCTTAGCCGCTCTTGCTTCGCATGCAGTTCATCTCTCAACTTCTCCTCCTCGTCCTTCAGCTTGCGATAATGCGGCTCAAGCTCTCGAGTTACGCCAAGAGCGAGAGGCGTCATGGAAGGGTCCAACTTGCCGCCGGGGATGATGGGGGGGAGTGTCGCAAGCATGGATTGCGCCAAAGTCTGCCGTGCGCTACCAGCATGTTGAGCTGATGGCCCAGTCGGAGGATTGAACGGTCGAGGTTGCGTCGTTGTCGAGGCTGACGATGTATTTGACGGAGTCGCACGTGGGCCAGTGGGAATAGCTGAAGGTCCACTGGGAGTTGAAGGAGTTGGTGAAGGTCCTGAAATGTGTCTTGCTGGTGCTTGATTCCAGCCACCTCTGCCTCCTCGGGAGGCAAACCCACCTCTAGCTGGAGGCACATAACCTCGTGGGCCAGCTGGGGGAACGGTTGGGCTCGTGGTACCTGAACGCAGAGGAGGAGCCGTAGGTGTCTGATTCCGAGCGGGAGGAGGCAGGGCTGGTGAAGATACTGGCCCTGCGGGGTTTCTGTTTGCTGCAGGGCCAGTTGGAGGAGCTCTCAGCGCTGCAGGGCCTCGTGGCGGTGAACGAGTGGGGCCTGATGTGTTTATATCGTAAGGTCCAGGCCTTGGTGTCTCCCTTGGTGGTGCCGCACCAGCCATGGCATGATGATGGGGAGACTCTTCTCGGGACTGAAGTGGTGAACGAGCTCTCAGGGAACTCGGTCGCGGTGACGATCTTCCAGAGGCTGACTGAGAAGTGATCGCAGATGAGATTCCAGATTCTCTCGGGGGGCTGACGCGCCTGTATGACTGCCATCGGTCATTGCCGCGTCGACTCATGGAACGCGAACGTGGTCTATATGAGCCACCACGAGGACCTGTCACGGGAGACCGCACAGGAGGAGTTCTGTCGCGGCGAATCATACCAAATGGAGACCTAGATCGCCGCCTTTTGTCAGTTAGTCCCACGCTATCAACATGGGGCAAGTCAATTCACCTTTCGTCACGCCGCTCAAAGTCACGACCCCTATCGCGTACTCTGTCACGGTCCCAGTCCCGATCCCTGACCCTCTCACGATCGCGGTCCCAATCTCTGCCAGGGGCAGGGGACCGGGGCCTTTCATATCTATCCGCTCCACGCGGAGGAGAAATTCTCCGGGATAAACTACGTCGAGGAGACGGCCGCCGCATAGACCTACTACGCTCCCGCCGGCGCGGACTCTCGCGTTCTCTTGATCGCTCTCGCCGGTATCGGTCTCCTCCACTTCTCGACCTACGACGTGGTGGATATCTGCCCGGCACATAGCTATCGGATCCAGAAGGAATTGGACTCCGGGGACGTGGACTTCTAGGTCGAGGGCTCCTTGCTCGTTCTCTAACCGGACTTCTAACCCGCCTAGGTGACCGGTCTCGAGGAGTGGGCCTCCATGACTCTCCAGCGCCGTATCTAACGACTTCCCCATCATCAAACCTTTTTTCATGTCAGTGTTTTGTTCGGGAATCATGAGGCTTTGTGGGTGTGAAATAGAGAACGCTATGAAAACAAAGAAAGAAAGGCATAAAAGGAGAGGAAAAAGAAAAGAAAAGACGAATGAGCGAAGTATAATTGGCGTACTGTGGCCTGCTGAGTCGTCATGATCCCTGCCAATTTTTGGCAAAGGTCAGACCAAATGTTGTGCGACGGTCAAGATCAATAGAAAGGCAGGAGTACTGTCTCTGTCTTAGGCGATGCTAGCGGAATCTCGGGTATTCCAGCGCAAGGTCCAGAATATTGTGATAATACGGCCAGCGTCGCTTGACACGCTTCCAAGCTTCAGTCTCCCCAGCAATCCTATCCATCCTCGCTCTGACAAGCCTGTGGATTGGGACGAAATGCCGGCAAAATGGAAGGGAACCCAGCAGCATCTCCTAAGGTATGGGCTGGCATGGGTTAATCGAAAGTTCTGACTTCCCAAGAACATTACAATATGCATCCAGGATAGAAATTCGAACAACAGAGATACCGAAGCGATATGCTAAATGTGGGTGAGAGTGCAGCGAGACCGTCATCAATATCCCCATTAGTTCACGGCCTAGTTCATGAAGATGGCTTGGCCGTCCGCAGGTGACCCGGTAAACCTGGCCAATGTACCAGTGTCGTCGAACAATCTGCACAAGCTCGCCAGGCGACTGCTCGAACTCGGATATATCTTCGATGGTTTCTTGAGAGTCGCTTCCGCTTCCCTCCATCCCAATATGACCATCCATCGCACAACTACTCAGTTGGTCGATATTCTCTAGAGTTTGGGTCGGGGCCGCAGGGCGAGACGTGTGTGGACCAAGTCGTATTGCTCCAAAGTGGCAGGGTAGGCTCCCGTGTAGCGTGTTTCGAGGGTGTCGACGGGTGGTGCTAGAGATGTCGAAATGGTGTCGCAAAACGATGGGAGACGTAACGATGAGGGTGATGATGATGAAGACCAAGACGAGGAAGAAAGCAAGATGCAATAAATACATAGAAGCAAACGATTTAGGACTCACCTTCGACCTCGGTCGCGATCCATCTTGCCTTAGTCAAGGATAGATATGATGCACGGCAAGTGCTTCTGTCGATGCGTTGTGATTTGGCTTTATGAAAGCGCAAGCACGCGTGCGAGTCGCAAGTTCAGTCAGTGGAGTTTCCAAAAATCGAAGACTAAAGCAGGGAGGTCGGAGATTCAGCATCCCGACTTCCGTGACTAACCTACCTAGGTTAGTAGCTAGAGGTAAGGTAAGGTACGAGTCCTCTACGGAGTAGGACCCTGATCCGATAGCAGATAAGCACAGTCTCACTGGAGACATGCACATACCACACACACTGTATTGCTTCAAGACCAGGAACATTAAAGGTCATATCCGTGCGACAGTTATCATGACTTCTATAGGGCACTGTCTCAAAGGCGCTGCCTAAAGGTATATAATAAAGAACACGCGTAAGGAAAACAGACTCTATCTCTGGTTGCGCTACTCACAAGACCTGCTAGAGCAAGAACATTACTCCAATACAAGGGAACACCCAGCTTCTCCTAACTTGTAACTAACATCGTTTCCGAGACCGCATCTATGACTTTTCATCTTCAGTCATATCAGCATCTGCTACTTCTTCGACCCTCTCGAGAATCCACTCTCGCGCCTCCTTGGCGTGATGCGCCATCATCTTGTTCAAACCAAACATTGGACTGCGAACGACTGTCCCGAAACGTCGCTTGTTAACTTTTCGAGTCAGATCAGGATCAGCCCAGCATGCATGATCGCCTGCAATGTAGACACGTGAGTTCTCTTTATACCACGATGACAGATCTGAATCAAACTCTGACTTGACTGGCCTGAGCGTTCCATTGGCGAAATTTACCACCCCAGAGATTCTAGACTTGCAATCTATTACGTTTCAGAAAACATTTGAGATAGAGGCTCATATCAGCAAGTCGACTTACCTCGGTTTATGAGAAGGACTTTGACTCCAAGATATGCATTGCCAACGCCCATGACGAAAATGTGATTGGCATCATAGAGCTGCAAGTAATTGTCCCACAGGTAACACACCAACGTCTGGATCTGTTCCGAGAGAGCCTTCTCTTTGAAACCAGGTACATAAGAGTCGGATTCCTAAACCAACGGTTAGAGATCAACCACTGCTAATAAATGTGATCACAGACCTCGTCGTGGGTGACATAGGCTGGAATATTAACGTCCATGACACCGAACTTTTGATCAACTGCCCAGTCAATGTAGTCTGTTACACCATCAACCTATTCTTATCAGTTCTTGCATCGCGTATTATGTATAACAACTACTCACCACCCAGGCATTGTGAGGATCGACAGATCTGTCTATAACATCTGGCTGAGCCAGAAGCTCGGGACTAAGAGATGATGTCAGTGGTCAAGACACAAGCTATAGCCCTCTCCTCATGCAATTAACTTACGGATCGTGAATGATAATGAGAACCTTCTTTTCCTTGTGGAGGCCTGGTGTCACTAGGACCTGGTTCTCGTATGACTTGTACAGATGCTCGCGCTGGATGTAGAGAGGTATCATGTTGTGCTTTGCTTGCAGAACCTGCCTCTGAGCGTTTCTGATCACGTCATGCAGGCGGCTGGATATCGTTGGTTGGATGTCGGTAGGAATTCGAACAATGCCTGCCCTCATACATTCCCAATATGGGGCCTGATGAGCTTGAACTTTGGCAAGTATGCGTGCAGCCTCCTTATTGATCTTAGGAATTTCCATCTTTGGTGGCGGTTCACCCATGAGTGTCTTCGCAACGGCCACTGCAGACACTGAGATAGCCTTAAGATTGTACCCTCCCTCTAGACACACTGCAACCTTTCCGTCAGCCAAGGACATCAACATGTGTGTCATATGAGCGTAGCAGCTGGGAGAAACGAAGCAGCCCCCTAGCTCATCGCCATCGGCAGCATCAAATCCCGCAGAGATAACCACGAGGTCTGGATTGAACTCTTGGGCGATAGGCATCACGATCTTCTGGAATGCCGCCATGTATTCCCCATCTCCCATGCCTTGGTCGTGCCAGCCGATATTAATATTTTTACCAAGGCCAGCTTCTGTTCCGCATTTGTCGATTCCACCATCCGGTGTCATATCGTTGGGGGGTTTACCGGGATAGAAGAGACCGTTCTGGTAGACATGGAGAGAGATATATAAGACGTTTGGGTCCTGATAGAAAATGTTTTGAACACCGTTACCGTGGTGAACATCCCAATCCAGGATGAGAACCTTTCGGCAAATGTCTGGATAGTCCTGTTGGCAGACCCTGACTGCTACTGGGACGTTGTTGAAGAAACAAAACCCCATTGGCGCATCAAACTCTGCGTGATGGCCTGGTGGCCTGATCACGGCGAATGCGTTCTTGACTTGACCAGTCACGACGTTCTTGCAGGTTTCGATGGCTCCCCCAGCTGAAAGTAGGGCGGCCTGATAAGACATACTACCAACATAGAGAGATTCCCGCCCTTGATCATATTGCCTAGTCAGTTCTCGAAGCTCGGCCGAACTTATCTTGTCAAGGTTTTCTACCCAGCTAAAGTGATCAGGATGATGGGCGAGGCAAATCTCCTCTCGGGTGGCAGCACGAGCAGGTATGCGCCACATATAACGCGTGGGACACTCCCGCATGATTCTTGGCAACTCTGCCTCGGGGCCTGTATAGACGAGGCCAACCTTCTTGAACGCCTTGAATATCTCGTGGATGCGACGGGGATCTTCAGGATGATGTGCGTTGGGTGAAAAGTCCGCATTCATATGCAACTTCATCCGGTCATCGTAACAACAGCCTGTTGGCAGCAAACCTCTACGACGCATCTGATCGAAGGTTATATCTTGAGGTGCTGGATCTTCATCGTCCTCGCATGGATCCTCGGATGCCGTATCATCGTCGTCGATGCTGGTGTTGCTAGTACGGCTGAACCCATTAGGCGCTTCTGCATCCTTCATTGGATGATCAACAGCCTCTGTGATACTTGTCTCCATGGCAGGCAATCTCCAATATCCTCACTGAAGGTCTGACGACCCCAGGAGTTGCGAATATGCTTGAGAGAGCCAAAGCCTATGGATTACTGATGTAAACAAACACTAACAGATGGATCTATAAGCAAGTCAGGAACGTTATGGTCGAGTTTGCGAGCAACTGTTGACCATCATTGTCTGGGGAAACAAAGGAGGTGCTCGAGGACAAAGAAAAGTTGCGTATTAGCGAAGTGAATTACATGAGCCAAAATGATATACGGCTGGTCATTGTTTTCACAAGCGTATAACATCCTTGATTCACTTGGCACCCAGGCACATGCAAGGGCATTCTGCCTATTTTTGCAGAGCTGAGTGCATCAAAGCACTTAGAAGGATGTGAAAGATGATGATGCCAACACGAACAAAACACTTCACTTACCCCTGCTAAGTATGGCGCGATCGCAACAGCGAGGAAAGGTTATGAAGACGTGAGAGCATACGCTAGACTCTTGTAAGGAGGTTCTAGAGAAGTTTGATATGAGTAAGTCTAATGCTGAGTGGTGGGTTGAGATGCGCGATCGGGTTTAATCGCGGTGGTCGATATTAGCTCTGAGATTAGATGTATGAGATGGAGTGGAAGGAGAAGTGAGGCTCAGCTGTGGAGGTTGATTTTGGCGTGCGGGCTCCCCTATGGTTTCAGGCGCTACTGGCCACTGAGTGACCCGCGGCCGACTTCCATGGATAAGGCACCTAACTTTCGAAGTTACCTTACCAACTTAGTGGGGGCTACTGCTTGGCCGCAAACAGTTTGATAATCTCCTTCTTTGATTCATACTTACCTTGCGTAGAAAGGGCAATGTTCCTTACATATGTACGTTGGTTTGGACTGCGACTGCTAAGCATTCCAGATTTCACAAATGGTACCTGTCAACGGCAGTAAGTCACAATCGGCAGGGAAAGGCACTGAGTTAATGGACTGGCGAGACCGTAGCATTTAGCATTTAGCATTATGCGATTCAGGAGACACTACGGCCACCTACTCAATGAGAGAATCCATTTCTAATATACCTAGGAGAAGCCTTGGGCTTAGTTTCGACGACATCTGACCATCCACGTGCAGTAAACAACAAATACTGCGACCATCCGTAAACTTCGTGGTCAACCAAAGGAGCGAGAATATGTCTATCGACGGCACTCAGGCCTAGGCGAACGAAACCATATACCTACCCTCCATCCTTGTCTGTCGCTGGACATCTTCCAGATAAGATCCATCATCCCCACGAGGCGAATAGTGAGATGAAGACCGAAGCATCCGAGCCCCCCCTGGCAATGTCCCATCCAGACTGGCATCACTTCCAAACTTGACGCGCTCAGCGTCGCGCTCATCATCCCAGTCAATCACACCTCCCAGGCCATCCACAGGCAAAGTAGGCATGTTCAAGGACCACTGTCGTTCGTCCAGGACACATTGTGTTGACACCGAGATAGATTCTTGGTCGAAAGTGAGATTTGGTTGAAGAGACCGAGCTTCCGCAATGAGGCGTTTTCTAGGGTAGCTATAGATGTTCTCAAACAGATGCATGAGATCTTTAGGGCCAAGTTTGCAGTAAGTCTTTACGATACGGCCCCAACGACTCTGATCCCGCCAGCCTCTTACCAAAGAGTCGGGTCGGTCGACAACATCATAAAGATACGAATCGCAGCCCTCCTGATGGCATATCAGTAATGAACCCCGAAAGTCTGAATACAAACTTACATATTCGTCTTGACTAGGGTCAAGCCGCGGGCAGAGATAGTGGAGGACGACATCCTTCATGGTTTCAACCAGGTCCATCAGCTCTACCAGCTCGCACGTGGAGTATAATCGAAGTTGACTCAGTCTAACGTCATCCACACCGGGCTCTGGAAGCCCAACACACGGTCGGGGGAAGTCGCCGTGAAAGTAGAAACCATAGAGCCACCATCGATACATGGCTCTGCGGAACCTCTCAGCCTCATGCTCGCGAAGCAGACGGCAATTTTCAGGCTCATGAAACCATCTCATCTGAGGGAACCTGGCTTGCCATCTCAGTACAAGGGAACAGCAACTGAGAATTGGCTTCAGATCGTTCTCAGTCAGAACAACAGTTTTCAGTGGTTGAGCACGGGGTATGATGGGTTTGCCTGGCTTGTCCAACGTGATGAATCCTTCAACAACGTCCACTGATACAGCAGGCTGATGCTCTGAAAGCGGAGCTAACACCACTCCAGTGTCTCCGAGGAATCGTCTAAACACGACTCTACGTGGAGCATACAGTCCACCGCGGGAATCGAGATCCTCAACTGAAGCCGTATAAACCTGAAGGAGCTCATCAAACGGACTGAACTCCTTGACGAGGACAGGAAGTAATATCGAGGCCTTTCTCTTGTCAAAGAGTTCGTGTAGCGTCCTATGAGTGGCGCAAAGGTTGAAAACACCATCCAGGTCTAGTTGTTGATAGATATCTAGAAGGATCTCAGTTGGAAGCTCAGTAAGGCAATGGTTTTTGGGCATTTTCGGTGCCATTTTTACTTTTACAGACGTCAACTTGGTCGGACGTCTTATATAAAGGGTTTGGGGATAGATGGCAGATATATTCGGCCGAATTGTAAAGATTGGGTTTTGAGTGGACAAAATATCTGCATGTAAAGACGACAACAACGGTCCTCGTCCGTACACCACGTACGCGATTATACAATCTCACTACAGAACCAGAGTCGCCGATTTGACGGGTGCTATGAGCAAGTTAGGCATAAAATTATGCCTGGAAAGGAGAAAAGAACGGACCTGATAGACTTTGCATTTTGTTTACTTGTAATGGTACTTTGTAGACGTTGTAGAGGAGGCAAGATTCAAGAAAATCAAGTCGCTGTATCCTCAAATTGTAGTGGCCTTCACCGTGAGAGATTTGATATGAGAAAAGTGTTGTAATAAGAGCAGCCTGGCCCTCGTCGCTTCAAGGTATCTCACTATTGAGTCACCTGAAGCATCAATGGTACGGGGCTTACTGTTCAGCCACCCCGGCACTGGGGCTTGAGACGGAAGTAGAGATGCACACAGGCATCGGCTTTTGGGCAACTGTGATTCTCATGGCTGTATTCAAGTGCAATGCTTGTCTGCAACATGCACGGATTGAATAGACAGTGAGGATGAGGATGAAGAAGGAAAGGGGGACGACTGATATTAGTAGGTCATGACAAGGTCGCGACTTGGGTTACGCACTGATAACAATCTGCCGAGTTTCATCCGGGCGGGCTAGTGATGATGCGATACCTACTAAGCCTTCAAGCAGGCCTGACCTGACAACCCTGAACTGAAACTCAGTACCTTATTTTTTATTGCCTTTGATTAGGTACTCTATAACTAGGTGAGTGACCGGGAGGTACAATTTAGGGAGGACGAAATAAGACAAACGGTGTCGTTAACGGTAGGTAGGTAGGTAGCTAAAGTATAATATTCTCTCTTTTGGCAAATAAAAACGCAGTATAACCTAGAACTCCAACACCCCGTCCCGGTGTTCAGATCCAATGGATCAAGCCAGTAAGTACTTGGTTATATCGGTAGGTAACGTATCAAAGGTTTTAGGCGAACAACATCTTGGTATCAAGCTCATCCTTGGCCGGTCGCTGGCCGCCAACAGATCGCAGTCCAAGGTCGCCCTTCCTGACCCGTCTCTCCACCTCCTTCTCTGCGCGGGCGTTGTGTCGCGAAGCCTTTGTCCTTCGAATATCGGCTCGGACCTGATTTGGTGACACAAACTCCTTGTTTTCATAGATAATAGGTCCACCAAAAGAGCCCTCCTGGATAACGATCGGTGTCAAAACGAATCGGGGGCCGATCTCTACCAGGTTGATATCGGTATCTGGCTTGCCAGATCGAGACTTGGTTGTCTCTTCCTCTTCCTCACCCTCCTTGGCTGTCGCCTCGACCTCGTTGATTTGATAGTTGCGAACCCAGATCTTGCCATCGACAAAGCTGAATCCCATAACGTGGTCGATAAAAGGCTTGGATTTTCTTGCGCCCTGAGGAACGCCGAAGGTGTGGAGGAAGAGCTCCTTGATCACTCGGAGGTGAGGCTGCTTGTCGAAAGCGCCGTCGAAGGAGAGAACGGGCCGCGAGCCCTTGAGACAGTTACCGGTGAAATGAAGTTCCTCCATGGTGTGCACTGTTTGGTGTTAGCCTGGATAAAAGCATCGTCTGGTGTCAACTCTTACAGTTCTGGAGGTGGAACTTGATGGTAGGCCCATTAGGGACTTTGCTGAGCCAAACATACAGATCCTTGCCCTTCCTTGCCTCGAAGAAGAGCACGTTGTTGCAGTTGTAGAGCTCGGCCAGCTCGTTCAGTTCGTACAGTTTTGTCTTGGAGTCGAATTTTGCATCTTTTCGGCTGTGGGGGAGCATCGCCGCAATGTCGTTTAGAAGATGGCGATGTCTTGAGAAGAATAGCAATGTTAGTGGAATGCGCCCTACATCCGAGTCGTGGAGCTTCCTACCGGTAAGTGACGCCTCTAGAAGAGAGGATCAGAACCCTCTGCTTGTTCTTCTTGACGCCATTGCTAGGCGCCTCGGCCTTTGCAGTGCTGGACTTGGAGATAGACTTGTAGACAGCAGCCATTTTGAATGAACCCCAACGTCGTGATTGAGATCGGTTATCGAAAAAGCTGTGTTAACTTGGTGATGATTTTACTGGACCAGGCTTTGCGACGCGGTGGACAATTTTCCAAAAAAAATTTAGTCGGCTGAGTATCGATAAGACTTGAAAGGTCCCGTCCATCGCGATAAGAGAGTGGGGGACCCTGGAGGTATCGAGGTGGGGCCGCGACACCGCTCTACCTTAGCAGTCGAGACAAGCCGGGCCAGGGGGGCTAGGGGGTCCTCTATAGTTCAGGGGACATGCAGTAGCACATGTTTTCTGAAGCAGACAGGCAGAGCCACTCAGAAAGCTTTGGTCTAAACCTAAGGAATGCATTGCGTGAGATGAGGATAGTAGAGTACCAAGATCGGACCATGCCTAATAGTAGATGGATAAGGTAGCCCACCCATTGCTTCACCAGAGTCAGGTAAATATCTACTGGCACCTAATTAGAGGCTGCATTCAGTGTGATGAGTTGGGTGAACTGCCCCGCTACCTGAAGATCCTGAGGACGAGTTGTGCACTAGCTACTAGCAAATGAATTCGATGCGAAATCACCCACGGCGCCAGTACCTGTTTACGTCCGGACGGATCTGATCAGCATGACGTGGAGGCGTACACAGATTGTGGCGTTTAACTTGAATGCGGTACAAGCGAGGTGATACAGAATGGAAGGCTGGGGGGGACGGAGATACAGCTCATTAGAGGGCGAACATTATAAAGAATTCATTCAGCTACGTTAAGATGACCGTGTCGCAGCGATCGTTGGACGCATCAACCCCAAGACAACCATCATGACAAAAAATAAGAACAAAGGAAAGCCGAAGTAACCGCGCCTTCTGATATCAAAAAAGACGTATCACGATTCCTCGCCTCCTCCACTCTCCTTTGGCGAGGAGCATTTTCGGGGACAAACGAGACGCCAGGTATCCCAAACCCCCAAAGCCCTATATCCGACTGCAAACGGCTCTGCGAGGAATTTAACAGCATTTTCCGCCCTTGGCAGCATCGTCGTCGGCAGGCTTGCTCAGGGAGATATTGGTGCCTGCGCCTATGGTGGCCTGGGCGCTGTCACCGCTGTCAAGGGCCTTGCTTGAAACAATGCGATAAATTTCTGTCCATATTGTCAGTTCGAGCCACAGAGGTTGAGGAGACCGGGTGAATAACGAACCAGTCAGAATGTTCTGGAACGCAAGTTCGACGTTGCTGGCATCGAGGGCAGACGTCTCGATAAAGGATAGGTGGTTCTCGCCTGCAAAAGTGTCAATCAGAGGGATCCTCCTGTGTCAAGTTCGGTAGGATTTTCGTACTGGCAAAAGACTTGGCCTCTTCGGTGGGAACAGCCCTCAGGTGTCGCAAATCGCTCTTGTTTCCAACCAGCATAATGACAATGTTGGCGTCGGCATGGTCCCGCAGCTCCTTGAGCCATCGTGTGACATTTTCGTAGGTCTGGTGCTTGCTGATGTCGTAAACGAGGAGAGCACCGACAGCGCCTCGGTAGTAGGCGGAAGTGATGGCGCGGTATCGCTCTTGGCCAGCTGTATCCCAAATCTGGGCCTTGATTGTCTTTGAATCGACCTGGATAGATCTGGTGGCGAACTCGACACCGATGGTCGACTTTGAGTCTAGGTTGAACTCATTGCGGGTGAATCGACTAAGAAGGTTGGACTTTCCGACTCCAGAGTCTCCGATCAGGACGACTGCAGGTTCACAATGTCAGTAAGGGGCGGTCGCAAACGTCGGACCAGGCGTGGCCTTTGAGAGATGGTAATGACGGCACCTTTGAAGAGGAACTGCAAAGGGGGCCCACAGGTCAGCAACTGGCGGGACATGAAAGACTAAGGAGGGTAGGGAGAGGGGCAAGACGTACATCATATTCGTCGTTGGCCATGACTACGGTGGTGTTGCTTCAGGGATATTACTGAGAGGAGCCAAGTTGGTGTATCGAAGATGAGGGTGAGGTTGAAGGCGAGTGCGCTGGCGCTGCGAGAAAGACAAGTCGACGTCGTTGAGGTGTGGGATGTGGAGAGGGAGAGAATGCGCGGCTCTGGCGATAGGCGGTTGTTTGTACCTCGAGGTACGTCCAGTCCCCGTGCCGAGGGGTAAAGACTGGGCTGGGCTAAATTCTAACTGGAGCTGCCCTCCACTGGCTGCCTGTATGTTTTTAGGTAGGGGGGAGCCAGGGCCCTACCTACCTAGGATTCGACGCCTCGTTGTTAGTGGAGGTAGCCACCTAGCGGTTGCACAAAGACATCCACTCTGCCACTGTGGCCAGGTAGCGAAAGTGGTGCTGTTCGCATCCATCACTGCTAGGTTCCAGTATAAGAAATCAAGGGAATGCAACCTGTCCCCAAAAATGGCTGTTCTTGGGTGGATTGTTGGTCAGAGCTACCTTGTGTGCCTTAGTGTGTAGGTAATTTGCCAACCTAATATTATGGATGGAATAGGACAACGACAAAGAAAGCTTCATGTCGTAGATGTAATTGTCAGCTACCGAATCCGGACACATTCTGATGTGATAGGCCAGAACTAGTAACCGTATGATGTATTTCAGGAGGATGGCTGCATCATATACATTTCTTCATAGCACATATCCATCCGTATAACTGGGTTTTCACGCTGCCTGTTAGGACTAACCGCGTCAATATCGCTCTCTACCATTGCAACCTACAGATTGATCGCTGACCGCTTTCAGATAGTTATGCAGCGCCTTAAACCCGATACTCCTTGCAAACCTGGTCGCATATTATGATGTTGTAGTTTTAATGCGCATTCTTGTAACCTGGCTAGTCTGGCCCCTTTCCCTCTTTCTTGTGTTTGCCAGCACCATAGAGTTAAGCAGGACATCAGAATATTATATAACCATAATGATTGAAATGCCGAGCCAAGGCATCTTTGAATATTGGGCGCTCTTCCTGATTTTAAAATCATGAAGTGATGGGTGCTAGAAACATGCCCATCACCTGGCTGCTGCTTTCCACAACAGGGAGTTCATTATGGGTGCAATGCATGAAGAACGATCTTGACAATTGTGACAATATAAAACTAGACCCTACCTACTCCTTGGCAATGAAGAGGCTGATAAATTTGATCAATCTGCCGTATGGATGCTTCCAACAAGATTCGAGTCGTCATTAGACGTTTAAAAAGAAAGGAAAAGGTGGATGGCCGCAATGAGGTCGGGGTCTAGGTTAGGCTATCTTGACAAGCAGGGGAGAGTGCAAATGAAAAGGACGGAGAGACCAAGGACATAGAGCTGACATATCCATCGACGATGATACGAGTCTCTGATGAAGCACTTGCCCATACAGATAATTTGATCTCCAAGTCGTAAATGATGATTTTGATCAAGATTTTGCAGCCGCACCTCACTCAGGTACCTTATTTTAGATACTACTTACTTATTTTAGGGACCTACCTTGAGGGATAAACAAAAACGCCGATGAACTAAGTCACTCACGTGATCTCGCGACTTGTCTAGCACTTTCCAAGCAGCCCAGGCCAAGCCAGTCCCACACGCCGCGCCCAGCCTGAGTGAAGCTCTAACCTAGCTTATTACTATGTTAGAGAACGGAGAAAAGAAGAGACCAAGACCGGCCCGCCATCTCATTTCATTTCTATAATTTCTCTCTCCCCTCACCCAAGACAGGTTTTGTCATTCAAATTTGGGAGTTCATTCATTGCGTCAAGGTGTCAATAAAAACAAACTCACGAACTCAAATCAACTCTATTTAATACGAAACATACTGTACTCAACCGTAAACCTCAGTGAGTTTGACTTCCCCAACTCATTCATTGCCAAACCACGACTGACTCCTTTTCTTTTCTTAAGAGTGGGAACGTCCCATCAGCGGCCCTTGTTGGTTGAACCTTAAGATACACATGAAGAGCATGCGCCAAAAGACGCCAAAATGGATGACTCCGATAGTGAATCAATAGTCTCCACCATCGTCAGTGAGCACGACTCTGACGAGGAATGGAACGTGAACGAAATCTTGGCCGAATGGCCTATCGACGGCCTCCCACGATATCTCATCGAATGGGAGAATTTTGATTTGTGCGAGGCAACCTGGGAGCCTGTAGAAAACCTGAGCAATGCCCTCCTGGAAGGTTGGGAGAGAACAAAATCGCGGGATGATTTTGATATGTTCAAGAACATTCGAGATTGGAAGAATGCTGTCAAGTCCAAATATGCTGCCAAGCTCGACCGCCACCAAGAAAGAAATCGGCGCAGAAGGCTGAGAGGCGAAGAGGAAACCTCGTTCATAGAGATGGAAGATCATCTGAAATGGGCTGATCGATTTCCGGATGGTGAAGAGGCCAGTGGTTCTATCGTCTCTAGTCCATCTGTAGCCACAGACATCGATATGGATGTTGAGGTCGGACAACTGTCACAACATTCTTTCGACAAAACACAAAGAGCTTCCGTAAGCTTAAGTGAAGAAAGTTCGCCAAAAAGTAGTCGTCAAAACAGCATAGCGTCTGTCCATCATCCTTCACGACCGCCATTGAACTCAGCTGCGACTACAACTACAGCCAGTCAGAAGCCCCCACTGCGACGGCAACCAGGCAAAGTCCTTGCTGACAATAAGAGACCACCACAAAAGCCAGTGGCTTCGAGCAACCTCTTGTCATCAAAGTTCGGCGTTCGTGGACCGATAAAGCGGACCGATAGTCACCTACGCAAGGGGCAACCGACAAAGGCTCGCAAGACCCGGCCTGCGCAAGCCTTCACAGGAAATGTGTTTTCAGGGGGCACAGTGAGAAAGCAGCGCACGACTCTCGCCGAAGCTGCTAAAGATTCCACAAAACAGTCGAAACTTTTGAAGCCAAGGTATGTGAATCTCATACAGAAAGCAGGCCGCGACAGAGAAAGCGCTGCGCCCGCAAGGCTACCGACAGACCTCATCTCTCTGAACCCAGCAGAGCGATCTGTCAACGGTCTTACTGCCTTACCGCTGCGCCCCGAGATTCCGAACGAAACAGTCAAACCCCTCCGACAAAACCAGAACTCTACTGAAACCATGCCCGAGGCCCCAAGGTTAAAGCCCAAGAAGTCAATTAGTTGGGGCACCGTTGAAGAGGCAATGATACCCGCCCGCGGAGAAAGAGAGGAAAGTCTCTTCTTGCGCGAGGATTCTCTCATTCGAGCGACGACCCCAATCAAGATAGAAGACGACTCTCGTGAAGCCGAGCAAAACACCGGGCCACAATTCGGGTCGACCTTCCAGACGAAGGCTTCAGACAATCAAGAATGTTGGGCTGGGAGAGCCCCTCTTATGAACGACGAATCGAGCTCTTCTAACAAGTCCATCACCACGGAGGTGCAGTTTGGCCCAGGAAGTCGGGAAACATTCTCGGTTATTTTTGAAAGAGACGAGGATCAGAATGGGCAGCCTTGGTCGAGTATCTTTGAACAGCACCCCATCCTAATCTTCACACACTCTTGTATGACGCAGGACTTCTGGTCTCAAGAGGCTTTCTTAGCTGCTGCTAAGCTGGGCACCGGCTCAGTGATAAGCAGTGGCGACCCAGATAGCTTGGCTACAGTTGCGAATTGGCTCTGTGTAAGGTCTGTTGGAGTCCTCCTGTATCAACAAGAACTGTGCATCTTCCTATATGCATCCTTTGACAAGTCTGTGTTGCTACAATATCACTTGTTTCGGCCTTCTTCGCACCTGACAACGCGCTCGCTTGCGCCGATTGTACTTCCAGAGGGAGTTGGCGGTGGCGACGTTCTGCCACAAATGATACCGACAGTTTTCAACCGGCTTTTGGGATTCCAGTACGAGCAATTACTACCAGAAAAAACCCTCATGGATTATGGCAACCACAACTTCTTCTTGGTATTTCCAACGAATGCCGTGGAAGAAGCTTACTTTCTGAGCGCATGGCTGCGAAGCTGCAACCCTCAGTGTAGGTTGCTTTCTAGCCTCACCACTGGACACTGGGCTAGCTTCAGGAAGCTAGGCCAAGGCGTGGTCATTGTGCATGAAGAAGCAATATGGGCTACGCGACTGTTTCCTTCGGTCTGGACTGTCCTTCACAACGTGCACAACTTCAATTTCCGCTTGTTTTCTATATCTCTGCAACCTTCGCCCTTTTATCCCTCTCTTGGCCAACCATCCCGGATTGGGGATGTCACTCTGCAAACTATCTGCGGACAAAAGAAAGCTGTATTAGTTACTCCCAGTTTTGTTATCTCACAACCTCAGCAGGCCTGGGCTTTCTTCAAGTGGGCTTATAAATATTGGCAGCAACATCGCGGCACTTTTACGCTCATTGTATGTGCCGACTTTGAGAACTGGGTTCACGAGGTAGCTGTTATGGTCAAGGAAGACTGGGAGACGCATCGAGAAAGTACCCGAGTACGCGAAGAAGACAAAGCGACAGCGGAGAAAGAGATTGATGCTCTTTTCAAGTGCTCGCAACATGTCAGAGAGGTAGCAGGACCTTCAGACGATGATCAATCGGTTGTGGTGTTCGCCCCTGATTCGATTGATGGCAACGATGAGCAGAGTCTTGTCAATTGGTTCGGGTGGTGGTCTATTCTGAATTTAGACCAGTATCGGCATTTTACCGTGGTTGGATCAAGCTCCAATACTGCCATCCAGAGACTCACTCACCAGATCCGGATCCCCCAATATACTCCCTCAACTTCGGGTAACCCAGACGAGGTTTGGGGAAAAGTTAACCCTGCCGCCTCCTCCCTTGTCGCGCAGAATCAGCCAGCTTCGGAGAGAGCACCTCAGAGAAGACTACAATTAATCCCCTCTGATGACGGAGTATCGTTCCAGCACTTCCTAAGACAACTGGAAAGCGATATTCGGGACAGGTCTTGGGGCCCCCAGACAGTCTTCAATCGCCCCGTCTCTTACTGGAATATGGATATGGCACATGAATTCCCCGAGTTCGGAACATACGATAGATGTCTTCACTATTTTAACGCAAAAATTCATGCCCATACCTTTATCAATACTGGTGTGGCCTTCTGCTACACGACTGACGGATCCTGGAAGTACGGCGACAATCGAGAAACCACTAACAAGAATCGACGGCCGTGGATTGCTGTATACAGACCTGTTGAGTTATTCAGGAAGCCTTGGCGTGAGATGGAGTTGATAATATGGGATCCTGTCATGAAAATGCCGGACAATGCACACGTTTACGATGGGCAACTTATTGAAGCACAACGCGAAATGATACGGCTTGCAGAAGAGTCTTACAACAAATTGCCACTAGTGAAAGTATGGATTAAGGGATCAAATGTGATTCCACAGGGGCTGACCGATCCTGTCGATATTACTATCCACCAGCTTCAGCATCTTATGAAGAATCTGAAGGTATCTATTCCAGCCGGACATCCAGCAATGAGGTCTCAGGGATGGAGGGAAGTCAGGTCAGGAAATCCGCCCATCAGATCACGGTCACCCTCTCCACAGGCAATGGACGTTGATGAACCTACGGGGACAGATGATGCGGCAGATGAGGACCCGAAGATTGTCTTCCATGCTCCTCGTGGGAAGAATATGGATCGGCCGACCAAATGCAAAAACCGTCTGTTTATGCATTGCGAAAATAAAAGGAGTGAGGGGTACCGTGGAAGAACGATGGATTTTGTCTTCAGACCAACTCTGGACTGGTACGATGAGCAGGTACAAGAAGGCCGTGGTTTCGAGCATATTAGGGTTATGCCGTGGCCAGCGTTTTTCTCGAAACACCTCATCGAAGTCCCTGAGCGACCCGATGTGGGCTCAGAGAAGAGAGGTCAGGAGGCAAGAAAATAGGGGATACCGCATGGCGGAGTTTATTCCTACGTGATACCATGACGGATGGATGTGTAGGGGGTATATTGGCATGATTATGTATGACGATAACGTACTGTAAAGACTAAATGTACAATATGAAAGCTTTTCCGAGAGCGACATAGATGATATTAATGGCCATGTTTATAGCCTGGATTCAGAAATAAATCATCTTGCCGAGGCAGGGAAGTTTCTCGTACTCAGCAAGACTCCCTTCACACGCCGGATGTTATCCCGCACCTTGCGGATTTCGTCATCCGGCTCGGGCTTGCGTGATCGGCCGTACAGGTCATAGCCAGTACTGTGATCTGGGTACGCAGTATATGTCATTGTGTCGAGGTCATCCCTTAGCATATCAACAGCAGTTTTGATCTTATCCATGCCTTCGCTCTGGGAACGGTACTCATCCTTCAGGCCAGAAAGAATCTTGTTCAAACTACCCAGTTGATTCGTGTTATGTTTGGCAGCTGACTCGTTATTATTGGAGTCTGTCATAGCTGTCACAGAGCTTATGGGGAATGTGGTTTGAGTGCCCATGTCCCTGTGGAACATCTCCGTAGGGTCTTCGGCATCGCTCTCCTCCTCGACTGTGGCGATGGGTTTCTTGGGGGGAACCTCGGAAACGGTCTTTTCAAGCTTTGCGACGAGGGCATCGAGTTTTCGCGAGGTCAGATCGTGGAAATCTGTACGGGCTTCGGCCTGACTATCAACCATAGGACGAATAACGTAGCGACTTGTGCCATAGATGAAGGTGGAGAGGCCAGTGACTGCGTAAAGGGCGTTGAAAAGACGCTCCTTTGTGACGAGAGGGGGAGGGCGGGGTGCCTTTGCAAGGAATTCAGGGTATGTGACGACTGGGGGTCGGTCGACTGGCGGATGGGAAGCTGGTGTTGGAGGAAGAGTTTCGGTGGGTGTCGGAGCGTAAGAACTGGTTGTTCCTGGGATTGGCGCCTTGAGATTGTCAGCGTAGTACATGGGCGCAAGATAAGAAGTAGCAGAAACCTCTGTCTCTGTTGTGGAATCGTCTTGAACAAGAAGCGCGTGTATCTCGGCTTCGTCAATGCCTTTGGACTTCAAGAACTCGACCTTCTTCTCGTGAGGCGCGTGCCGCACAGCGTCATTTTCGAGAAAGCGTCTCGCAACCTCGAGTCTTTCTTGACCGTCTGTGACAATTTCCGGCTGTGATGTCTCTTCTGCTGTTACTTCTGCTGCTGGCGCATCAACCTGTGATGTTGAGCTGTTCGCGGACGGTTCGGTGTTTTGGCTATCGATCTCATCGGATTGCACCTTCTGCCAGGCTGGGATGGCGGGATTAGAATCCGAGTCGCTCATGTTTGATAGTGTCACGCGACTGGTTACGAGACTGGAAGATCGAACAGAGACGTTGAATTAATAACCTAGGTAGGTAGTCGATGGAAAGGAAATGTTTGTGGTTTCCGAGGCGTTGGCAAGGTTCGGCGAGGTAGGCAGGCACATGCCTCGGTACTCCTGCCGATACTGATACCGATAACGGTGGAGTATAAGGTACCTACTAACCTTATTAGGCTGCTTCACCTCAACCTCATGAGTCTGGGGTTTCTTATGGGGAGCAAACAGTACTAACCTACCTTATCTGATTGTGTACTTAGGTACCTTATGTGAGTATGATATTGGAGTATTGTCATCAAGCCATGTTATTCAATAAGAAATATACATTTGCTTAAATGTCCCTCGCAAAACCTTCTTTCTAATCAAGAGACCCAGAAAAAAAGAAAACCGTGTTAATAAGTATTGATGCCATTGGGCAAGCCGGACTGGCAGTGAGGTACGTAACGGTAGCCACTCCGTTTAATACTGGAGCTGTTACTGGAAATAAAACGGGATCGTGCTAAACGGTAGCACGACCAGAACGCGCATTCACCTGAGAGCATCAATTCCAGACAATATCTCAAGTCAAAGATCGCCTGTGCCATCAGGGACCTCGGTGAACGCCTAGGCTTCTCAGTAGTTACAAACCTCATCCTCACTACCCTTTCACGTTCTTCTCAGGACGTCGGAATCGCGCCATCAAGTTCTTGCGCCAAAAAAAAGATTCAGCGCCATCATCTCCTATCAGCCAATCTCATCGCGGCAGGCAATTCTACAGCCAGAAGCAGGACACAGCAACAACGTGTAACGGCGCTCGTCTCACGAGCCTCGTATTGCGTCACCTGTCGGTCCCAACAAGTTAAACAACTGGCGTGCTTGTGCCCTGGGAGTAGCGGTTGCGCTCAAGTCTCCAGCTCTTGGCCCAGTCAGACCCTGTTCGGGGTGAAGCGATAGGAAGCGGCTAAAACCCAACTACCAACTGCTGGCCGTCCACAGAGCAGGCAAGTGAAAGTCAATAGGCGACAAGCTGGTGTGGTGTGACCTTGCAAGAACAAGGCACTCAAAATCTGTAACAGGTGAGTTGTGAATTTTCCTTTCCTCTTGGTTGTCTCTCCCTTTGTTTGGTCGCAGCAAGCAAAACCCACCAATTCCGTCCGTCTCTGTAATCCTTTCCGTGGCTGTCACCCAATTCTCTCAATGGAACCGACGAGGATAAGCTTCTCCCCTAAGCTATTCTGTCTTGGCCTCTGATGTCGGCAGTTTGTCTGGGCTACCATAGGATTAGGACTGGCCGATGATCCTCAGCCACGTGCATGATCCCGCTTATAGGAATCCCTGATTCAGCGGTATTCACAGACGAGAGAGGTCTCACGTAGTTACCTGGGTAGTCAGTCCTTGGTGGTTGGTTGGCCGATTGATTGATTGATCGGATTGACTGGTTGCAGGATAAATTGCATTAGTTGGCGGTTTATCTTCAGCTTCGCATCCTCGCATCCTTCAAGCTTCAAGCTCAAGTCGTCTTTACACCAATGAAGCGTCACCGACACTACCTTACCTAGGTACCTTACACTACAAAAGCCCAGACTCCAGCCTAGGTACTTACCTACTAAAGTATCCTGTCCTATCCTATCTCGCCAACGGCAATCGCCACCAACATCCGAGCCGTACTTGCCCTTTTTGCCCTGCCTTGGCCCTGTCTGTTCTTTCCAGCCAATCCCTTCTTCGGTGGCTCTTGGCTCCTGCTCCTGCTCCTGCTCCTGCTCCTGCTGTCTCACTTCCGTCGTGCTTGCCCCAACGAATTGAGCTTATTTCAGCCTTGTCAACACCAAAAACCTGCAAACTTGTCTTCCGATCACTTTCCCTTTTTTTCTGTCATCCAACTCATTTGACTTGACATATTTAAGTTTTCGCGATCTTCGCTGGGACCCCAAGACTCCTTGAACTCTATCCTGATACAAATACAACCCACCCTTCACTTCGCATACCACTAATTATTTCCCACTTTCCTTATCTTGTTTCTACCATCCCCCCAGGCCCCGCCAGTGCGGGCATCTATCATCATGAGTTCGCGTCCACGTCGCTCAGCGGCCACCAAGGCCAATGAAGTCATTTCTGTTCATGCCAGATGGGCTGACTCTCCAGAAAGAAGCGAAAGGAGCATGTCGTCACGACGCTCTGGTCGCGCCTCAGGCGTGTCCGTCTCCCGAGATGATACCTCGTCACCAGGTGGCGATCGTCATTTGAGTTTGACTGTCAAACTTCCTTCCAACAAACTACGACAGGCTACACGCGGGGAGCGTGGCTTTGAAGGCGGAGAAATTGTATCCGGAAAGCGGAACCGAGGAGCTAAGAAAAGTTATGTGGTTGATTCAAGCCCCGATGAAGATGAAGAAGAGGAAGAGGAGGCAGAGATTGAGGTGGAGGATGATGATGACGATGAGATGGATGTTGACGCTGAGGGTGAGGAGGATGCCGAGGGAGACATCGATATGGATCTAGCTCCCCCAACCATCACTGTTTCCAAACCAGTCCGGTCCAAGCCAGCACCTCGAGCATCGGCTGCCAAGGTCATTCAGGATGACGACGACGACGACGACGAGCTTAGTGACCCCGCTGATAGCGACGCTGGAGACGAGACTATGGGTTTTGGTGATGAGACCATGGCTGACGATGGTGATGAGGACGCTGAAGGCGAGGAGATTGAGGTCGCAGGCCAAGAAGGAGACGAGGATGACGAAGACGAAGAAGATGAGGAGGAGGAAGAAGATGATGAAGGCGAAGGAGGCGATGGAGGCGACGATGACGACGAAGATGACGACGGCGATGGCAACCCAGACGAGTCTATCGATCTCACCAAAATGACAAAGCGGCAACGAGCTCGATTTGAAGATGACAACGCGCATCAGTACATGAAGTTGTCAGACGGTGAGTCTAGTACTTGTGCTTACACTTGTAATACTAATCCATGTTGGCAGAGGTACAAGCGAAGAAGGTTTTTACAGCTGAGGAATTGTCCATGCGTCGACAGGAGATGGCCCGGCGACGCCGCAACTTGAGTGAAAAGCGAAATGAGGAAGTCAAGGTAGCCTCAAAATTGAATTAAGCAGAAAGTGTGACTATGTGCTGACCCTAGATTACAGATGGAAACGATTAACAAGCTCCTCAAAAAGCAAGCACCCAAGGTCAACCGCAAGGCTGCAGCTGCTGGCGCAGGCGGTCTAGAAGACTCAAACAAGCCTGATCCCGTCTTCGTTCGGTGGGTCAGCAACAAAACTGGAGTTCGAGTGGCAGTGACAGAAGAGATGCTTGACAGCCCGGCCGGTCAGGTTTTCAAGCCTTCATCTAAACTAGCACCGGGTAAGATGGTCCAGGAAGTTGCTTAAGGAGGCGTTATCGTGTGCTTATTAAATGCCAACTCCTTCCTGGTAGTTCGATGCCCTTTGAGCACCTGTGCAAGTCATAGTTCAGTTGGTCTATTTGGAATATCAAAACGTGATTTTCAAGAAGAATTCAAAGGGGATCGTTGCGTGGTCTTTTTTTGCCTTGGCCGTACGGATACACATAGATAATATTACTTGGCTTTGGACCGTTCATCCAACCCCACTAGCATTCCTGCAACCACTCTATATAAGTTGACCCAACACGCAATGGATATGCAAGCTCTTATCGATGTGCGCCGATGACGGCCGTGGGCAGGCAGGGGGGAGGGGGGCTGACCTGTTCGTACCTAGGTTGCTAGTGAATGGCGTCTCTATGCTTGCCAGCCGCTGACACTGTACCGCCAAACCACAACGCAGAGTCTCGTAAACTCGTGGTGATTTTGTATAGACGATTATCTGAAGTTGCCTCGTCGGTTACAGGAGATATCCTGGGCTTAGGGGCTCATTATGCGGAGCCTCGTACTGCCTCTTCCGCGTTTGCAGTGTCGCCGTTCGATACAATGATATGCAGACAAGACTACAGGTAGCAACGATTTGGCATGCGAAGCCCTCAGCAACTCGGGCCCACATCCCAGAAGCTAGGGCCATCTCGAACAGTTCTATTGATCATAGGAACAATAGCTCAGAGCGTTGCCGTTAGCCGACAATATCAAAGGGCGGGCCAATAGCTGAGGGCAGTGTAAGTGCCGGCACAATGAGGAGCAACTCAACACCAATGAGCCGAGATACCTGCAAAGTATCTTGTCTATTGACAAGGCCAAGATGAATGATCTCTGATTACGAGATAAAAGGAGTAGATCTGGTCATAGTATTTTGGCATGGAGTGACGCCTCGTAGTATAAAACCTCGTACGCGCGAAACTCAGCAACACCGAGGCTGTCAACCTCACGATACTACTTTAAGAGCAGAAGCACGATGTCATAGCATCAGGAGGGACACGGCCACCGACAAGTAACTATCTCAGAGGCTTAGAGAGAACCAAGAAACATGTGCAAGTGTTGACAGCTGTCGGGCTAGCTAAACGCCATTATGTAGGCCTTGACAGCTCTCGACGGCCGTTTGCACTGCCAACTCCTCCACGCTTATTCAAATATGCAAGCACTTTAGTAGCGCCGAGGTTCGGACTTGAATATATTGAAAAGCTTTTCACCTCTGACTTGCTCTACTCTTCTTTTTTCTCTCCTCACCCATCTTCAGATCTCGTGCACACAGCTTCAGCTTCGCGGCATCTTCCAACAATCTGATATCAGCTTCACTTCTACGCTCTTCAGTCTTCGCTTCATCTGTCGAATCTTGTTTCTTCTCGTGAGAATACACAGACTTGAGAGGCTTTGAGCGTCGTGGAGATTCAACCAGCCAGCTCTCTTCGCGACAACTCTATCTTCTCTACTTTTCCCATACCACTTGATTCATCGAGATATCCTCCTCGTCATACATAATCCTCGAGTCTTATCTGCTTAGCAGTCTTGATTCTTTTATCTCAGCTTCAGCTTCAGCTCTCAGCTACTTCACAATCACTGACTCTGCTCCAAGATCGCTCGAAGCATCTTACAACCAGCAGCATTCTCGAGATATACTTCGCCATCTTGAAGTCGCGATTTTTACAATGTTCTCTTGTCAACCCAACATGGCCAATATGGCCCAGGGAAACACACAGCAAGGAGCTGCTCAACAGGTAAGTCGTCGTCTCTCCGCATATGATACACACATGCACTGGAAATGAGATGAAAAGGAACTGACACTATTCGCAGCAGCAGAACCAGCTTTTCATGGAACAGAACGGAAATGCATTCCAGTTCAACAACCTTCAGCAGCAGCAGCAGCAGCAGTTCGCTCAGTTCATGGTAAACCTGCGCTCCTTCAATTTCCCCTTGATTTTCAATTCTAACATTGCCTTTGTAGCAGAATCAGAATGGCCTCGGTCAGATGCAGCAGAACCAGATGATTGGTGGTTTCACTTCTCCTTCTGATGATACAAACAACAACGCCAACTCTGGCAGCCCCATGGTGGTTGGAACTCATCATTTTAACCCTCACTGGGCCCAGAACTCCTCTTCTACTCCCAGCGTGGCCTCGGGCAACCCCAGCTTTGAGAGCTTCACTCAGTCTCAGACCCCCGTCATGTTCAACAGCCAGAACCAGTTCCTTGGCAACATGCAGAACTCGTTCATGGGAAATTCTCTGATGCCTTCCATGAGCGACCTGAGCATGCAACCTCCTTTCTTTCCTACTCCTCCCATGGGAAATGCTCAGACTCCCTTCATGAGCAACACCCAAGCTTCTACCATGAGCGATTCTCAGGGACAGGGCCAGGGTTTCGTTCAGAACATGTCTAGTCTTCGGGCCACTGCATCCTCCACTCCCGCTCAGAACAGCCCTGCACCTCAGCAGAGTACCGTCTCTATGCCCAACATGACTCCTCAGATGCACGCGCATATGCAGCAGATGGAGATGCGCATCAATCAGCAACAAGCCATCATCGACAGCATGATGATGCGACAGTCTGGGTCCTCTGCCCAGTCCAACTCCCAACACGGACCAGCTCTTCAGATGCAGCAGACCTCAACCACTCAGGTTCCTAGCCCTCGTGCGTCTACTCCTGGAACACCTGCTGCCCTAGACTCCGCTGCACAGTCCCTTTCTATCCAGTCTCCCATCGCACAGACCTCTACAAATGAGCATGTTGCGGTCCAGTCTCCTACTGTTGCCTCTCCAACTACTCAGTCCTCTGGTTCTCAGGGCGGTACCACCATTCAGACTGTTCCGGCCCCGAGTGCCAACCCAGAATCCATGACTGAGCAAGGTTCCCGTGCGAATCAGAGGGACAGCTCCTTGACTCAGATCCCAGGTGTGATGAACACCGACCTCGCAACGAACCCTCGTACACGTCTTCTACCCCAGGATGTCAAACCTCCTCATGTTCCTCTTCCCCCTCAACACAAACTCCAAGACTTCCTTGGTGATGTTGCTCTCGAGGTCGTCATCCCAGACTTGTTCGGTGATCAGCCATCCGCTTCCCAAACTTCTCCTACCCAGGGCTCTTCAGCAGAGGAGCCTTCTACCCCAGCGTCTTCAAATGGCTTTTCGCCGATCGAGGATTGGTCCAAGAAGCGTGTCTATGCTCCTGGTATCTTTGCTCCTCGGCGCTCTGATGGACCCGAGAAGATAAATCAAAAGGAAAAGAAGCTTCGCGAGGCCGAGGACAAGGGCGAGCAAGTCTTTCCCAGCAAACGCCGCGTCGTTCGCATCGACCCCGAAGACCCTCGATTGGTTCGCGATGAAAACGGCTTGCCTATCACACCCCAAGGTGATCGCTACAACAGTAAGCCTTTTATCCTCACTTCGTTCTTCGCTGTTATTGTGCGAGTCACCAATACTGACCATGTTTGATAGTCTACTACCTCCCCGGACCCAAGGAAATAGACACCGCAGAGATCAATAGATTGCTCGCAGAGATTCGGGCGGAGAAAAAGAATGCTATGGATGAAGCTGCCAGGACTGGTGAGCCGATCCAAACCTCAAAGTCTGCAAAGAGGAACAGGAAATCCAAGACTAGAGTTCTCAAAACCCCATCCGAGACCATTGTCAACAAGAAGCGACGCAAGACTACTACTACAACAACAACAAAAGCAACTTCTACTCCCAAAGTCGCTGGCGATGCTCACCTTGCCACTACTCTCGGCGTTCAGCCCTCTCTCAACAACGGTCCTATCCCTCAACATTCCATGGACCCCTTCAATATCCAGAGCAACACTGCCCTACCTACGCAATTTACTCGCGGCGATGTCTTCAATCAGCAAGCTTTGACGACCTCTTTCGCTCCCCAAGCTGTCCTTGACAGTGACCTTACCCAGTCATCCACTGCTGGCAACACTCAACCACTTGCCGCTGGCGGTGATTCGACTCTTCAGTTTCTTCGCGAGAACAGCTTCACTTCTCAGACCACCTACGAACAACCCACGGCTAACCTCCCTGGCAACGACTACACTTCCCAAGCTTTCAATCCATCGGAATATAGCGCCATGCAGCCCGCTGAGGACTTTACCAACGTTAGCGATCACAGCCTTGAGATTCCTGCTGACCTCGATCCCGTGCTTGTTGACGTTGGAAATACCCTTGATGAGAACTTGTATTTCGATACTGAGCCTTTTGCTCAATTCTCCCCCACACAATCTGGCTCTTCCCATCCCCCATCGACTCCCGTCTCTGATTCTGGCGCTGCCATGACCGATGATCACTGTCTTCTTCCTGTTTCCACATGGCTTGCTGCTCATTCTGGAGATGATTCTACACCCCACACTGTCGACCCTTCCATGTCTGTGCCCTATCCGGACATTTTCAAGATTTGCCAACCTGAGGTGTCTCTCGGACACAATGACACTTTGTCTGAGCCAATTGACGAGATCCCCATGCTTCTCCAAGATGATGAACAAGGCACCCAGCTGCGCAAAGTCTCCAACGAGCTCGATCGACCTCCTCCCGAGCAGACCGACATGAGAGTCCAAATTGTTGACATCCCCAACGCATACAACCGAGACTTGGACGCTACCCGCGCTGCCCTCATTGAGAAGTTCCGAGCTGGTGGCGAGCTAAACCGCACTGATCGTAGCATTCTTCTTCTGATTGCCATAACAGACCCTTCTATCGACGTCAATGCCGTGAACAGGCAGACCGTGGGAGTGACCGAAGACATGTCTCCAGCTGATATTCCGGCCTTTGAGAATGACGTCCCTCCGGATATCTTCGCCAGTCTTCAAGCCATTCCTGAAAGCAATCTTCAGGACCCCAACGCTACTGCTGGCAACGACAACACCATGTTCCCTGTTACTGGCTGCTCGGACTTCAACTCTTCTAGCGCTACTGGACCTGCCTCAAACTGGCCACTTGCCGCACCCAATGTGAGCCTTGCACAGATGCCGTACTCTCCCGTTGTAGCATCTCAAGAGACTCAAGATGCCCCTTTCCAACTTCCACAGGGCCCCGAGTTCCACCCTCAAGACCTTAATGACAACCTGTTTGGTGATGTGGACAATGTCTTTAACCCCGACTAGCAGTCCCAGGGCCAAGGCAACACCACTAATGCAGCTTCCGAGGGAGAATTCCTGAACCCAGCTGTATTGAACCAGACAACAACCACAACTCTTCCTCCTTTCACTTCCACAACCACAACCACAACCACACCCACACCCACAGCTGCAGCCAATACCACCAAGACTGGGCACAACAAGCGCAAGGCGGATGAGGATGCCAGTGCCGCGCCCAAGAAGAAGGCTCGCACCAAGAAGGCCCCTATCCCACAACTCGCGTTGCCCCAGTGCAAGGTCCGCTTTGGCCCTGGCGAGCAGCAGTAAAGTACGAGTCATGAGAGGAGAGCGAGAAAGATGAGAATGATGTTGCTTGCGGTGGATGTACAGGATGAAGAATGAATAAATGATCAGCTAGGGGCCGAGCCCAAGGATGAAGAAGGATGTTTGGTTCATGGTTTGGATGGTGGTTTTCTTTTTCTTTTTTTTTGGAGATATGGAAAAAATGAAATACAAAAAAACGAACATAAAAATAAAGAACCCCCGGCTTTGAACGGATCTTGGCATCGTGATGTGTTACAATCTCTCGCACTGAAGCCCTTTGTAGCTTCGTAATGGTTGGTGGCGTGCTCAGTATGGTGTTTTGATGTGCACTCTCGGCCCATCAATCTCTTGCGAAGCAGAACATCTACTATTTAACTCGAGGTCCTATAGTTATTGCATTACTTACCTTCTTCATGCCTACCGACCGTGCTCCTCTGTTTACCTATGGGTACATATGACAGAACCTTGCATGTATTTCATTATTCCCATTTCCAATAGAGGTCACTCAGGTCAGCGATCAAAAGGGTTTGTGCTGCCTCTAGTGAAGGCGTTTAGACTTTTTGGAAACAAACTGATTGACGTGAGAGAGATGTATTATCATAGCTGGTAACGTCGTTGGTTGACAGTTACCTAGTTAGCAACCGCAATAGGCGGCTATTTATTTATTAAATGGTAATGGTCTGACATTGCATTTACCTGCATATCTAACTTACGTTACCATATCATTTGAACGGTGTCTACGTCACTTGAACTTGCCTTACTTGACATGGCATGATGGAGGTACCTAAGGTAGACTAACCGGGGTACGAATGGAAGTTAAAGTTGAGCGAAAAACGGCGAGCGGGCCATGGGGGATAGATACAGATCCATTTGCCGCGATATATCCGCTATTCTCGAGTTTCTTGTTTTCTCAAGCAATGCAATATCTGCATACTCGGACTCGGTACCTAGGTAGGATGTACGTATGATTGTTGATATCTGATATGTAAAGGTGAGGTAGGCAGGTGACTGACTGACTGACTGCCATGATGTGTCCACGTGCATCAACAGTCCAGGGCATCGAGTGTCAAAGTTGGGCGGCTGACTCTTGTCGGCCAATGAGAAAGATCAATTGCCCGCTCCAGCTTTTCCAACTTCAGGCCTGATTGCCCCGTGGCTGGTGATTCCTTCATCCCCCGCTATTCCCCAGTTGTAGCCTGAAATTTACCTCAACTTAGGTACCTTACCCTCGGGGGGAAAAATTAAACGAGACTGGCTTACACCAAAATCCACCGATCTACCACCAAATCCAGTCTCGTTTTTTATTCCCCCCCCTAGCTTATCTAGTCTCCATTTACTGGGCTAGGAGGTAGGTCAAGCTCCAGCTGTTGGTACATACCTACAGGTAAGCGAATGTGCGGGCATCGATCGCGAAGGGAGAGTTTATCCACAGTCACGCGACATTTGATCCACTGCCTCTTCTTTCACATGTAAAAAAGCAAGACAAAAACAATACGAAAATGGCCAAATGTGATGTGATGATGGATGGATGCATCGTTTACCCGTCGGAAACAAGCGCGAACCGAACCTACCTATACCCTCCCGTTTATTTTAGGTATCAATACATTTCTGTATGTATGTTCCCGCCCGTGTTAGGACAAGGATCATTAGATCCCACCTCTAGCCAAAGCGGTCTCTTCCAATTGCAACCCAAGCAAATCATTTTCGGGCTGTCGCACAGGCTCACTCAAAGGCACTGGCGCTGAATTCTAGGGGAGCCCAGGGTCTAGGGTGACCACGCGTGGAACCTCAGGTTTGCCGTCAAAATTTGTCGCACAAACCTCACTCAGTCATTGTCATTGTCACTACACGCACGCACGCACACTCGACCAGAAGCTGTTGCATTCTTTTCCCACATTCCGGGTGCACGTTACGTCCGTGCCTCGGAATTATCATAGCCTGATATTTGGCTTGCGTGAGGTATTTCTTGGCTGCTGCAACGAGAGGCACTTGACTAGACCAGACCACCCGTAAACCGGTCCAGAACGAAAACCAGAACCAGAACCAGCCAGAGCCAGAACCGGTACGAATAGCAGAACCTTGAGGCCCCCAAAAACCAAAACCAGAAAGAAAAAAAACTCTGTCAATCGTTTCAGTTCTGGACTGGGACCCCTGCCCTGCAGACCCCTTCGACGCCTACATACAGAGAGAGACAGCGACTGAGACTTGTCCTTCTTCATCAGCCTTCCTAGGTCTTCAGCCATCCAATGTCGCCTTCTCCGCTTAAAACGCCTGGCTCTGGCTCTGGCTTTGGCTCTGGCGCTGGTGGTGAACAAGCATCTTGCGTCGGCTCCGACCGTCATCAGTCGTTTACAACTGCAGCACCTACACTATCATCGAATGTCGATATCGGCAGTGGTAAGTTGATCACTTTCTTTCTCTTTTTCTCTCTTTCTCTCTTTGTCTCTCTACCATACGTTACCTGTTCGCCTTTCTTCTGTTCTCTTCTCGGCCAACACCGCCTGCTATTCTCGGTCAGCACACACACACACACACACGCACACAAACTCAAAACCTTACCCAAGCCTTACCCCATCTTTTGACTCGTCTCGCTCAGTCGGCCGTCCATGCAAGGGTCACGGCTGCACGCACACGAGCGATCACCGCTAGATTGAAGTGCCCAGAGCCTGGAGATGCAGGGACTAGGACCTCCAAAGTATCCAAGCTTTTGGTGTATCCCATCCGTCAGACAACCTAGTCCTTGATTTTAATTCGGAATCTGGCTTGTTAGACATTGACTCGAGTTACTTACCTTACAAGTCTAATTATTCTTGTCTCTTCTTCACTCTCCCCTTCATCTGTCTCACGTTAATTCCTGTCGATTCCTTTCCTGTCTTGCTTTGCATTGCATTACACCTCCAATCCACTCCACGCACGCTACCACTGCGGCTCTAGTTTCTGGGGATCCGCTGCCGATCATGTCCTGGTGAGCCAAGCAACCCAAGTCTTTTGCCTCCCTCCTCCTGTTACAACTCTTCAATTGGGCCTTGCCTTGCTCTTTTCCCAGGCTTGGCTTCGATCATAAATTGCAGTGCCTTGGCTCTTCAACTCCCTGTTCCCCGCGTTACATACTGTACCGTACATACATACATGCCGCTCCTTAAGCGACAACACATCGTCATATAAGGAGACACATCCTCTTCAATCGGACAAGGAGCCGCAGCGTGTCAGTCGCATCGAGAACGACTCGGACCATCGCTAGTACTCAAAAATGACCCATGCGAGCCCTGTCAATAGCGCTTTACCTTAACTTGATCTTCCCTTCCAACGCCACCTCCGCTCAAACAATACTACCGCCTGCTTCCATATAAACCATGCCCTTTGGCTCCCCCCAAGTGTGCTGTACCACGTCCACGTCCACACGCACACATCCGCCCTTTTTTCCTTCAGAATTGTTGGCTGCTGCTTTTTCTCGCCCTTGTTAAATTTTGCCTTGTCAAACTTTGCATTTTGTCTTTGCCTGTCGAGAACGATCATCTAATAATTTAATCCAGTCGCAAAGACAAGTGATCCAGATCAAGGACCAGAGCAACAACACCAACATAGCCGACCACAATCGCCAGCTCGAGATATCACATCATCCTCCCCAACCAACATCCACCCTCTACTTCAGGTCGCATCCGCTCCCCCGCATTCTCGCTCGACAATTGCCGCCACCGATACTACACCCGCTACCACAACTCCAATTACTGAGTCGCCTGCATTGCCATTGGGCTCTTCAAAACAATCGCCAACAAACACTGCTCAGCTTGCCTCGAGGGCCACCGAAGCCCGGGCAAGCACATCTTCAAATATGATATTCTCGGATATTTACAAGAGCCCGCGATCACCCATCGCTAAGCTCCGTCACCACTCGGTCCAATTGCCGACACCGCTGCCAACTAATACCCCAGATTGGTACGGCGAGGAACATGCAGACCTTCTCAGCAAGGACAAGGTGAAGCAGAAGGAAGCAGTGAAGAGATACCTCGACGCCAAAGTCAAGAACGATTGGGAGTTCCCATGGCCTTCTCGCGTTGTCGAACCCCCACTACTTGAGGGCGACGTCGCTGTTGTCGACACTGCATCTGAAACGCGTGATGCAATTGAGGCTGTCACCAGTCTCGATGTCACAGAACCGACAAAGTCTGTCCAGGATGAGACGCGCGAGGATGATGGCTACCAAGTCGATGAACCTGAGTCTTCAGATAACGAAGACGGCAGCGATGCCGAGTCCACGTACAGTACTGTCTCTGAAGATTTAGTCAACTTTCGCACCCGTCTAGACTGGGCCTCAGACCTTTCTGATGATGAGGACGAGCCTGGACCTTCGCGATCACCTTTCCGCTTTGACAACCCCAACAACGTGGGCTCCAGTGTCCAAGCTGTGGTTCAGGGCAAGCGCGCCAAGCGAAGGAGAGCAGTTCGCAAGGAAATGGAATGGAACGAAGGACTTGCCTGTTTTGAAGCGCGGCGAAATGCATGGACGGGCGCACGAACTGTCCGCGTTCGGGCCAAGCCTGCAACGCCCCCTGCTGTGTCACCACTATCTCCTCGTCGATTCTTCTTCCGTCGCTCCATGTCAACATCTCCTCCTGCCTCGACAACTGCGTCTACTTTGCCACCGCAAGTCAGTGACGCGTCAGACAATTCATCACTCGCGAGAAGCGACGAGCTTCGCAATGCTCGATCTAAAGACACCACGCCGTCGACACCTCCCGACAGCCGAAATTATCCCATCGAGGTCCTGCTTCCTCTTCCCCCACCTCTCCTACCTCCCAATAACCCTCTGCGTGCATCCATCACACCTTCTGTATATCTCAGTCTCTACGACAAAGTCATCATCCACAGCCTTCAACCCTCGTGCCCGATTAATTTGTCCGATATGCTTCGAGCTTGCGTTACTGGCTGGAAGCGAGATGGCGAGTGGCCCCCGCGACCGACAATGGCTCCCGCTCCTGTCGCCAAGAAGAAGAAACCTAAGA